CCAGCAGGCAGACCCTCATACTGAGGCCCGAAGACACGGAACGAGACGCCAACCTGAGAGCCGGTACCGCACGATCAAACAAGCACTGTTTAGTGTTTATCAGAGCTTGAACTCCTGTGTGAGACCCAGACAGAAGCTCTGTTCCTGCTCCAGATATCTGCCACAGACTTGTATTAAAAATATAGGACTGTTTTACATGCTGGCTTGAGTTTAACTTGAGGTCTATGTTCTCTAAACAGCAGTCATTCAGTCGTTCTGTCATAATCCTGGCGAAGCCAAGGTAGCTTAGTACGTAACTCCATTTGTATTGGAAGTCAGCTTGAGTTGCAATGTGGTGGAAGTCCATCAACTGATGGTTGAGCTCTATGAATGCTACCAGAAGTCTTGCCGACAGTACATCTCTCCAGTTAAAGTTCTGTCTGACTTTGACCAAAGTCTCTTCGACTGTACCCCAGATGTCAAGAAGTCTTCCGATGACCAGGGAGTAAGCAGAGTAAGTAACATTTTCACTCATGCCGTTTGTATCCAATGAAGCGTTTAGAAATCCTTGAACGCTCCTCCTCAGCTCTTGGCAAAATCCAGCCAGCTCAATGCTACAAGGGAGCCCATGGCCGTTACTGTGACCTGCCATGTCGCCACAGAGATGACCAAACACAGGAAACACAACCTCTGAAAAACTTGCCTCCAATGTCTCATTGCCCATGTCTTTCGTAAATAAATGTCTCATCTTTTGAAGCTTACTGACGAGTTGCAGGATTGCTATAGTCCTGCATGAAGTCAGCTCATCGTAAGCAGCCTCTGTAGTGTGCAGCAAGTCAAAGTTGGAGCTGAGGTCGATGGATACAGAGCCAAGCAGTGCCAGGAAAGAGAGGAGGCAGGCTGTCAGAATCCGACGAACAGTGCGACTACTGCCAGACAGGGAAAATATGGAACACCTGGAAAAACAGGAATACAACTTTACTGAAATTTCTGAAGGAGGCTTAAGGGGTCTGTAACCTTCAGACAAACTACTTGATACAAAGTGTCGTCCAAATATGGCTAAAGGAAAACTGCACACTTCCTCACCTGGCAATCGGCAGAAAGAAGTGTGTATGTTTGTCTCATTACTGGTTTTGGAAAGTTACAAAAGAAAATGTCATATACAGCGCCTCCAATGCCAACAGGGAAAATATGTGTGGGGAGGGGGATTCAGTCACTGTCCGACAAGTACTTAGTTTGAAGCGTATTCGCCAGTATACTGACACCCTTAGTCCAGCAGTATAATACAAACAAAAACGTTTTTTAGAAGTCATCATTATGAAATGAACTGATACAAGAATTACTCATCATTATGCATTTAAGTGAGAATCATATTTTATTAATCAATATTGATATGGTTTCAGATTTAAGTACTTCACTTACATGACACTTTTGGCTCTTATTGACAAAATCACATAAAAAACACAGTCGATCCTAAATTAATTTCAGAGTAAACTAACAATAAAGTTGTATCGTATCATATCGTAAATGTGTGTTTGACACAGTTAATCATGATATTTTGTCAGCCAAATTCAAACACTCAGAAATTAATCTGTTTATAAGGAATAAAGCCAGACTCTACACAACAGTGGTTACAGATGTCTGTGCTTGACAAACAATTATCCAAAGGTTTTATTGTACCCAAGAAAACTAGACTACAAAGAGTGGCATTGGCTCTTTCTTGTCTTCTCTAAACACCAAAATCATGTTAGTTACCAAAAACAAGCATTTCTCTATAAGAAGATACCCAAGGTCTTATAATCTCTCTGTCTGGAGTCTCTAGACAGTCTTAAACCACTCTTACATCATAGAGGGTAATGATCATTCAATCAGTGGAAAGAAATTATGACTTAATTGGAAATGTGATAGCTGATTAATGGTATTATTAGCTTCTCAAATATAAGGATCTGCGGCTCTTTGGAACATTTTTCACTACTTTCTTACCTTTATGTGACTAAACCATAAAACAAAAGGTAATTCACTGCAGCCTGAAATGATAGGCTACATTTGGAAGAAACACACTTTCTCATCCTATTCTAACAGAGTGAAACTAAGTGGGCAAACTGTGATCCGTAAATCGAACATTACAATTAAAATGAATAATTATTAATTAACCCAGTCAGTCATAAAGAACACAGAAGGGGACCCTGACATGAAGGGTCTGTATGAAGCATCCTAACTTTCTGGTAGAGTTCAGTGTGTCTCACCTGCACAGCGGACAGTCACTGTCCGCATCCTGCTGCGCCCTCGGAGCGACCCTCCTCTTCTTTATGAATCTTCTTTTGAGAGAGGCTGAGGACAGGGTCCCAGATGCCAAACACTCTTTTTTCATCAAGTCCAGCGATGACATGAGACTCGAGCTGAAGTCAGGGTTCACTCTCAGACTGCGGCCCCGCAGGACAGAGGCACTGCAGAGGGAGCGCCGCACTGAAGAGATGTCCCGTTATCTGGAGCCATAAGGACCAAGGCGGCAGCAGCATCTTCTCAACTTCCGGTGCATATTTAAAAATAAAAGTTTTATTGTTAATGATTGAAATGAATACATTTCCACACTTCTTTATAAAAATACATGTTTTTGTTTCTTTATGGAACATTATAAAAGGTCATTGTATTTGTGACTGATCCTTGCATAAAAACTCAATAAAAAAGAAAATAATACATGTATTTAGTTTTAAAGGGACAGAGTACCCAGTCAACAGGTGTCCCTCAGGGTACGTTCCCTAAAGGTTTCTGTTTGGTTATATTTTTGCAAATAAGCAGAGAGGGTTATTTTAACCCTGAAGGTTATTCTCTGAACAATCTTATGTTTTATATTTCTATTTTGTGAAGCTTATTTAAGTGTTCAGTGTGGTTAAGATTGAAATGTTTATACACCGATCTGCCATAACACTGTGAGCACTGACAGGTTAGGTGAATAACACTGATTATCTGGTTATCATGGCACCTCTCAGTGGGTGGGAAATATCAGGCAGCAAGTGAACATTTTGTCCTCAAAGTTGATGTTAGAAGGAAAAATGGGCACCGTGAGGATCTGAGTGACTTTGACAAGGGCCACATTGTGATGACTAGACGACTGGGTCAGAGCATCTCCAAACCTGCAGCTCTTGTGGGGTGTTCCCGGTCTGCAGTGGTCAGTACCTATCAAAAGTGCTCCAAGGAAGGAAAAGAACCGGAGACAGGGTCATGGGTGGCCAAGGCTCATTGATGCAGGTGGGGAGAGAAGGCTGACCTGTGTGGTCCGATCCAACAGACGAGCTACTGTAGCTCAAACTGCTGAAACAGTTAATGCTGGTTCTGATAGAAAGGGGTCAGAACACACAGTGTAGAGCAGTCTGTTGATATGGGACTGCAGAACATTGTGACCACCAGGGTGCCCAGACCTTCAGTCTTAAGGAACGATCCAATAATCGTCTTTTTACCAAAAAAGAACATTCTTGCTTGCTGACAGTTTTGCATGGAATAAAACAAATCAATGTTAGATCATTAAACAATTTGTATTAGGGTCCCAACCTCTAATTACAGTGAAGCTGGCAATATTTGTTCTACATTTGTGTGTATTTATTATAAAAGATAGAAAACATAAATGACTGCACACTGTCTAATTCGCAAAATCTTTATTAACAACGCTTCGGTCCTAGACCTTCATCAGGCAAGGGCAAGTGTATTTATTTTGAAAGTAAATTTGCTAGGCAGGAAGTGATTCTTTTCTTTCCCCCCTTTTTTTTTAATAGATTCAAGCACCGGCCCTTGTTGACACTGTATCAGAGATGTGTTGATTCATCTCTAAAATTCATATAGAATGTGAATACATACAACACAAAATTATTTATGCAGTGGAACATCTTCATATGGGTTCACAACATCACATATAATGTATACATTTGACAGCTGTGCCTCAGGTGGTTTTTGTCTGTTCAAAGCTCACTGGCTTTTCTCGTAGCATGTATCATCTTTAAAACACACACACACACACACACACACACACACACACACTATTAAATACTGTTGATTTCTACTTCTACATATATTGGTCAAGTGTTTCATTTGGAAGCTATGCTGAACAGTGTCCTCAGCCTGGATTCCTGGCCTCAGTTCCCACACAGTAGGGTGGCAGTATTAACACTCAATCAGACATGGAGCTGTGTTCAAACTCTGCTGTGACTGGACTGCTGGAAAGTCCACATGCTTCTATTTCCCATTCACTACTATTACTACAAACAGTGTAAAGCCAGCCAGCATGGTGATACCAGAACACGGGGTTCCTTCAGAATAAATGCGTGAATATGGAGGAGCAGGACCTGGCTGCATGGACCAGAGTAAGATGAATAGAGCAAATTTGGGAAATAAACTCAAGGTCCACTTACTACCTTTTCCCGGGGCTTTCAATCACATCTCACAATCTTCCACAGTGGATTGAGTTTGCATGGACCCAGCAAACATTTTTTATCTGAAGGTTAGGGGAATGTTTTCTTAACATTCCTGGATCAATCATTTTGTGGCAAAAAATACACTGGTCACGATCGTTCGGCAAGACTGTAGGTAACCTAACCCGACCAGTTCCCTGAGTGTTCCGCTGTGGTTGTCATGTTTAATGCTTTCTTTGCTACAAAAGTCACTGTTTATTTATAAATAGCCTACTTCCTATATTGAGAACATAATCTGAAGGTTTTTTAAACAGCATTCTGAGAATGATCCAAGAAAGTTCTTTAAAGGTTGCAAAATTATAACGAAACAGTAACCTTTAGGGAACATTCCCTGAAAGTTTACTTGTTTGCTGGACAGTGGGTCTTTTTTGGTCAAACTGTTATTAAGGTCAAAAATAAATGTTTATGCTGAGCAATACCAACATGACGCTCTTAATGATTATAAGATGCTGTATCACATTTTGCAAGAAAAAAACAAATATTCGTAGATTAAATAAATGACATTATATAAATAGATATAGGCTTTAATTTTGAAGGTTGTTGCCGGAAGTCCTTCACGTGAGTCTCCCAGGCTTGGTCACTGGTCGCACACGCACACACCGAGTGGATGGTAGTGTCTGCAGCTCGAGTAAGGAGAAAGTGGAGACATAGCGAGGACATGAATCCGTCGTTAACTTTGCCCGTCCTCCTCGTGTAAGGCGGTGGCTCCGTCCGCGGCTCGGCTGTCCGGTTAAACGTTCGTCGGTGTTACAAGTGGCGGGCGGACGGGCTCCTCGCCGTTGTGGCGGGGGAGTGTGAGTAAATGAAAGCGTTGTTTGGAGCCGTTGAACAAAGAGCTTTTCTTCCCTCTACCATTGTTACTGAGCGGAGCGCCTGTTTTCTAACTCATTTAGAGGAGCTTTCGGGCTGTTCAAGTAAGTTCTGGTAACTCTGAAGTGGTTCTGTTTTTAAAAGAGGGCATGGAAACGTGGGTTTTAATGTTGTGTAGTTTCATTCATTCACATACACAACTAGCAAATCCCTGGGACCACTGGGCTAAATGAAGGCTAGCTATAAGTTTACGCAATATTGATATTGGCACAAAACTAATGCGTTGGAAGGGTTTGCTGTCCATAACCTCCGCTTACACTTTATTTCTGCACTTTAGACAGAAACAATGAAACTGGGGGAAAGCGTCCTTTCGTTGGCGAGTTTAAATGTAACTGCCTTATTAACCCTCTATAAGTTATAAAGCCAGCCAAATCGCTAATAAGCAACTTTTTTAACAGTCAACGTCACCATATAATGTGTATGACAATTATTGAATGAGTTGTTTCTACTTTAATAATCAGAAACTGATATAAAGCCAGTGGGTTTTCACAACAACAATACAACACACAAGTCCACGTTAGCCTAACGGACTGCCCCTGTGTGTAGAGATTGTCACACCAGACTCCATTCAGAAATCTGGCAATTTAAGGTTGTGTCGCTTATCGCAACAAAAATACAATTCATGAAATACCACTCAAAACGGAATTTGGCACATTGGGAGCCACTGTTACATCGGCACAAAGGATATTGATAGTAACACTGTCAACCTTCGTCCAAATATTGGGCAACATTAGACTGCTGTTCCAATGATTTCAGCCTCGCATTCATTTGAACAGCAGCTAGGTCCGAGCTATGGGTGGCCAGCACTTGTTGAGTTTGCTGCTTGTGTTGACAGGTGAGGGGCGGCCATTGCTCCAGTCATGACCTCTGGGAATGGGAACACTGCCAGCAGCCAACACAATGGAGAGAGCAAACCAGCTCAGGCCCTACTCAAGTCCCACATCCTCACCCATCTGATAGAAGGCTTCGTTATCCAGGAGGGGGCTGAGCCTTTCCCTGTGAGTGCTGGAGCTCTGCATGTGTCTGTAAAGTCACTAACACAGAGAATAGAATCAGTATATGTCAGCAACAGAAGGCAGAGACTTGTGAGTCGACTGCCCATAATGGCGAGTTGCTGCCATCATGACAGCTTAAATCTTGAGATGTTACGATACCGACCCCAATACCGGAACTGTGCGTATCAAACAATACCAAGTACAGATTCAATATATATATTATTATTTTTAACAAGCGTATACGACTAAGCCTGTATGATTTCTATCATTGTCCCCAGAGTCAGACTAGGGTGGGCCATTTATTGTGTACTCTGATGTTGGAGTGGATCGGATAAAAGAGCAAATGAGACTCAACACTGCTGAGCGCCTGTCTCCAAAGTGGTTAACCTGCAGAGTGTTAGGTCGTTAGCTTTAGAATATAACCATGGCGAAACAATAATTGAGTCACTGACAATTACAAGAAATGTCCAGCCCACATCTTAACATTGATTGTAGTGGCACCCAGGTGCTTCCTGTCATTCTCTACTGTCATCTATCAGAAAATAAACAACCATCCTACCACCTGTCTATTTTCCATTCTCTAATTCACACAAGGAGTCAGAGCATATTCTGTTCTTCTAATGTTCTGTGATTGATTGCAGTCCTTTGAAGCAGTTTCTGCTGCAGTAATTGAGTACATTTTTCTGTCTGCAGGTGGAACGCCCATCTTTCTCAATTGAGAGCCTAAGGAGACACACAAAGATGGACGGCCTCTCACTAAAGGGTAACGTTCTTTCACAGCATCATTATTTCTTTCTCACAGTGTGGGGAGCTGATGTTTCTCTTCTCCATGTACCAATAGGATACTGTACACAACATTATGTTGTCACACAGCTGCACCTTCTTCCAGTGTCGGCATATTTCACAGTGTCTGGTTGGTTCATCATATGGAATTGCATAATAATAATGTTATAAGGAGTTCAGTCTAGACCTGCTCTATTTGAAAAGTGTCCTGAGATAACTTCTGTTATGAATTGGCGCTAAACAAATAAAATTGAATTGAATTAATATACAGTAGTAACAATGAAGGCTGTCACATTGAACTGCATGACGCATTTCAGGATTCATTCTTGAAGAAATCTCAGCTCATACACAGATCATGTGTAGAGAGCCTGAGATTGTGGCAGAGGGTTTGGAACCAACATCAATCCATCCATACAGTACATTTTCCACTAGATATTTCTGCTTCTACAAACTAGGACCAACCAGGAGCCAGCAGCCACCTCACTGCTTTCCCACCATTAAAGCTAGCTAACAGGGATTATCACTTCCTTTAGCACACCAGCTAAATAGATACAGCCGACAAACTGTTTCCAAATTACCCCAAACCTGGCAGCAGGTCACAAGGCAGCTTCTCTTGGTGATCCTCCTCCTGCAAGGAGTCATAAAATCCATTTTCCAGCAAGACCTCGATTCAAGGGGCGTCTTCCCCGGATTTTAAAGGCTTTCCCTGGCCCGACTGCGTCATCTAGAGGCCACCAAACCGACCTTCCAAAGCCAACCGTTTCCACCATCACAGACAGGGCTTACAATACGGCAGCACTGATGGATGTCAGGTCCAGCACGCACGTTGGTGCTGCATGAGACCTGCAACCTGACCAACTTATCGGATAAAGAGGACAGACGTCTTGGACATCCCACTTGTTCCTGGGGGCATATTCGGCTTTGCTCTCGCATCAATGCAAAAGAGGTGTGTGGCGAAGTAGAAGGCGAATGAAGCTTTACAGCTCTGCCTCCCGGTAGTAAACATAGCTGCAGTGATGACTTCCACCCAGGTGCCCTCAAGAAATGCCCCTTCCCCCCTTAAAATCATCATTATATCAACATTCTTTTTAACATTCATTATTAAACAAAGATAGCGTGCTAGCGTTTACTTTCATATCTCTTAAGGCAAAACAGTTTATACTTGTTCTGACTTGAAGGCCAGGCAAGAAGAGAGACCCAGTGAATATTATAAATGGGGATAAGAGAGCACACTTTCTGTCTCTCCTTGAAAGCATTCATTGCACTCGCCTGTACACGTACAAAGTGACAGAAGCAGTTGTTTGTGGAATGAAAAGATAGCTGAGAGAGAAGTTCAAACCCCACACACTTTTACACCCCCTCAAACCGGTTTCATCACTGTGTGAAGTGGGCCTGACCCAAATGAGAAGCACTTTGTTTGAAGCATATTGGTTCCCTGAGGGTGATCCCAGACACCCTGAGAAGGAAACTCATGTTGGCATCATGATCATTGGTGTGGGTTTGGTCATAAATCAACCAGTACATTTTCCACGACAGTCCTGTGCGATGCCAGCGGAGTGCTACAGGTGGCACTATGTAAGGGTGACAGATTGGATACTGTGTGCCATGTCTCGCACTACTTAGTCCTCGTGTTTTGTGCGGATGTTGTTGGTGATTGTATCTCTGCTGTATTTTCGATGTGTCCAGCTGACTGTGTGCTCACTGTGTCCCTCAGAGTTAAAGACCCAGCAGGAGCCCATGCTGACCTGTGAGCTGTGTGGCAGGGTGGACTTTGCCTTCGTCTTCAAAAGGTCCAAGAGGTTCTGTTCCACAGTGTGTGCCAAACGGTAAGACAAGGCAGAGAAGACTATTCATTTTCTTTATTTCTCCAGTTTACCCTGTGGTAGAAGTTGTTGTGGTCCTGATTAAGTTTTTTGGCCCTGAAGTCATATAGTATACCTGATACTTATATTTAACTGAACGTTGAATATGTATCTGACACATTAACAACTGTGGACTACTAAATCGCGCATAGTTTGTTTCACAGGATATTTAATCCTGTGGTTTCCAACTTTTTTCCTTAAGAGACAACTGTATTATTTTTTTTTCACCAATCATACTTAAAAGGCTTATTACTACTCCACTAGATGCCACTAAACCCCACAAACCTGACCTTTAAGGTTAATTCACAGAAAACATACAAACCTGTGGTTTTGCACTGACAGAGACCCTTCAGAGGCACTGACCTGTGCATAATGTACAATTATGGAGCTTGCAATGTTCCGACTAGAACAAATTATCGAAAATAAAAAATTACCCAGCTAAGATTCATTATCAGGCTGTGCTCATTAAGATTACGTTTCAACTAACCATGTTAACTTTGTTTGTAGCTACAATGTGGGCTGCACAAAGAGAATGGGTCTCTTCCCAAACCGCAAAACCACCCTGGAGAACATGAAGAAACAAAAAGCACTGAATGGAAATCTCAAAAACAGTTTAGAGTCTAAAAAGAAGGTGAGACTGTTGTCAGCTTTTGACTTTTAATGTGTTATTCACCTTAACTGCCTTCTGTGTGTAAATCTATCCAGTATGTCTGACTTATAGCTATCTCTGTTCTACATTAGATCCTCATTAGAGGCAAATATAATTAAAGTCTGATTTTGTTGTTGTATTTAAACCCCTGTGACAGACGGCTCCCTCCGTGCAGAAGCCCGCCGCTGCTGCTCTGTCCACCGGTCACTCTGTCCTCCCGGCGCAGGGAGAGTCCAGCCAATGTTCAGACTTGTCTGGCTACAAAAGATCCTCACCCCCCATGTCGGCCACCCAGCGGGTGCCTGCGGTGCAAGACTCTGAGCTGCCCCTGCTGCCCTACAGCTTCCTACCCAGTGACCCTGGCCAGTGGAACATAGAGGACGTCTACGAGTTCATCTCCTCTCTGCCAGGTGGGTGCTGCTTCAACTGTTTCACTCTTACGTTTGTTTACATCCAAATTTTGTGTAGATTCTTGCTGGCACCTTGATGACTTTAGGTTATCAATTATTATGTGAGATTTCTGGATTTCTCGCTGGTTGGTTGGAAGTGGGACTGAAAAAGGTGATGTTACATACTTCCATGCATGAGTTAGGATTAGAATTTTTGTAAAGGAGAGTTTCTGCAAACAGCCTGTAAAAATACATACACTTGTGATTGTTAGTTGGACTTACAAACAGATGCATGTTATTCTAATACCAACCTTGTAAAGAAAAGTCTGGTGACAAATGAATGTAGTTAAGGTGTCGAGAGAGGTTCGCAGCACTGTGGTGTCAGCTGACTGTTGGTGGTGTGTGGCTGCAGGCTGTCTGGAGATCGCCGAGGAGTTCCGTTCTCAGGAGATCGATGGACAGGCCCTGCTACTGCTGAAGGAGGACCATCTCATGGCAACCATGAACATCAAACTGGGCCCCGCGCTCAAGATCTTTGCCCAGATTAGCATGCTCAAAGACTCGTAGCCCATCTCACCCCTCACACACACAAACAAACACACACAGCTCTCAAAAGCAGTTCTGCTGTGACTGGACAAACACTCAGGATCCCACATGTAGACTGACTGAACTGAGTTCAGGCACCGGGCCAAAATAATTGGGATGTTTAGTCACGGCCTGCTGAACAGGAGGACATCAGCTGGGACTGTTCGACTCAGCTTTTACACTGACAGCTTCACTATGGCACTGCTTCAGGAAGGCTTCACCCCACTGTTTGACAAGAATCATGTGTTAGGTAGGCTCATGGAGAACTTGTTGTTGTTTTCATAATCTATTACTGTACCTTGGTTCACCCCAAAATCCAAATCCATATTTTTCTTTGTACCTGTAGTGCTATTTATCCTTCTAAGATCAAATGTTAAGATTTCCAGGAGAGGGCGATGCAGGACTGTGATATGTAGTATGATAGGACTGGAGGCACTGCTTGCCCAACTCTGTCAGCAGTTGGGAGAAAAGCCGTCCAGCAACTCCAAAGACTGTTTGACTTACCGACCTGTTTTATCTCTGCTTCCAGTCTTTGTGCTGAGCTAGACTAAAGATGTCCTGGATCTGTCTCCACTGGGAACACAAAGAGGAACCCCAGGAAACATCACACATGTTCATTTCCCTAAATGTCAGACTAGTCAGAAAACACCTTGATTGCATGGCCACTTGCTTAATATTAAGAATTTAAGAAACATTGGGCTGAAAACAGATATTGATAGTTTTTACACTCATGTTGCAGAAACACGGTTGTTTCTTCTGTGTCATAGTGTCTCTGTACAGGATACATTAGTCAGCTGACAACTACTAAAATAATCACCAACTATTCTAATGAATGAATTATTTAGTCATTTTTTAAGAAAAAATGCCCAAATTCTGATTTCAGTTTCTCAAATGTGAATATGTTCTGTTTTCTGTGGTCCCCTATGACTGTAAACTGAATGTATTTGGGTTGTGGACAGTATTAGACATTTGAGCCCTCGGGAAACAGTGATCCAAATTTTCTGACATTTAGCAAATCAGTTAACGAAGAAAAAGAACAATAATGAAAATAGCGGTTAGTTGCAGTCCTACTGGACATGACAACGTTCAATTATTTAAATGCAATGTGATCCAGCGTAATTGCATTGATTCAACCCTTCAGTCCTGTTTGAATAGTTTGCGAGGATGTGCTCTGTCAGTATCTGCTTTGTATTTTCTCCTACAGGTTTCTGGTGCTTGTTGATCATGAACAAATTAGCTTTTTTTCATGTAGCCATTTTAATGCAGACACTCTGTTCACCCCCCACTGGTACTGGTATAAGTGAATGAGAATGAATGCAAAACATGAATTTTCTCATGTTCCACACTACCTAATCACTGTAATATCACTGCTGCAACACTACATGGCACAGTCTATGCACACAGGGAATTACTGCCATAAGTGCCCATGGTGACAAGGTGCAGAAGTATAATGGAAGCTGTGGATGGGTTTTTATTTCATTATACTTTTACCAAAGCGAGTATCTCTGCTGAACTGCTGTCACTAGAAATGTGTTAGAGGTACCCAATTGAGCAACAGTAATGATGTTCTGGTTTCTTACTACAGATGCCATAAAATGACCACGCCCTGTTTGTAGGGAAAACAATTACTGATCAGCATTCAAAGGCAGCTTACGATCGTCTTTACAATCCTGTTGTGAGCTATGGTGTCATTTGTTTACTGTATCTTATTCTGGAACAAACCTGGGTTCTTTAGTGGCATTGAAATGCAGTGGTGATTGGGTCATGTGTGTGACATTACAAATCTTTCCTAGCATCCTGAAAAGCATCTGTCACAGTAATGACAGATGGTTAGTGTTACTGGCCTCTGAATGAAAGTATTAATTATTTTTGTCCTTCAAAGTTGTTTTTTAAAAAACCCCAAAATAAAACCATTAGATGTGATCATTTGTGCTGTATTTGTTCATCTATGTTGGATCAATAGATACAGGTGCAGTACACCCTGAGCTTGCATATGATGGATCTATTGGCAGAGATTGAATATGATATTGTTTCATTAGTGTATCACCTGAAAATAACTGTTACCTTAGAATGAGCTGTTTTTATCTACAGAGGGAGCGGGTCCTCTTCTACAGAGTCCGCCATGTTGAACCACCATGTTTCTACAGTAGCCCAGAACGGACAAACCAAACACTGCCTCTAGATAGGGCCTTCTGCAAGTTTTGTAGCCACTGTAGTTTCTCCTTCACACTTAGAAGGTGAGTAGTATCCAAATGGTTGCAATCTGCAACTTCACTTCTAGATGCCACTAAATCGTACACACTGGTCCTTAAGAATGGCTTTTATCTGTTTTTGCAAATGAACTCTCGGTTGTTCCAGTGGTACATCCCAGACTCCATATGCTTCAATGACAAAAACATAATGCTGTTCTAAGAAAATAATAGAAATATATGGAACAAACAGCACAATTCTCAGACAATTTTTCAGTGATTTATTCTCCCCAATGTAAGACAAGATCAAACCTTTAGCTTTTAACTTCCATTTTATATCATCACAAACCATTCAAGTACAATCCAATCCCATTATGGCTATAGCCATTAGCTCAATAAATTAACTTCTTCATTAAGGCACACACAGTAGTTGACATGAAAGAAAGATCGAATACAACCCACAAACAGAATGAAATAGAACAATCCTTAAATACGCTGAGTCACAAAGAATACGTAACTTATACCTATTCCGATTTAATAAAGATCTTAAAATTAGGTTCAAATAAAGTTGATCGACATAAAAAGTTGCATATTTTTTCAAATCTGAGAACTATGAGGAACAGCCAATAAGAACCTCTACACAGAAAGGCTGCCATTAACAATCATTTACCTGTGTGATGTATACATTTAGATGAGTTCACAGTGGCCAGAGTGATCAGGATAGTAAAAGCATGTTATGAAGCACAGTTGTGTATTAAAGGTATGCTGGGCACTGCAGTCCCTACTCAGAAAGTGTATCTTTAAAAATAAAGAAGCATGCACTGACTCATGGGTTAAAACCTTCCAGCGAGTTTTTTCAGTATGCTGTCAGGGGCTAATACCCACTGTGACATCACTGATTAGGGTGTGGTCACAAATGCAGAAATGTGTAGTTTTATTGGTGATCTAATGTTGATTTAGTATTTAAAGAAATACAGATTTTTATGAATGGGTTAGTTTAGTAGCTCTGGTCATCGGCTCCATACCCAGCAAACCGGTAACCTTCAGGAAATGTTCCCAGAAGGTAGTTTAAACGCCCTTTACAGAACCTTTAGAAGGTTCTTCTTTTAAAAGCTTCTATTTTATATTTTGTCAAGCTGAAATGTGAATTCAAACAATAACATTAATAGCAATCAAGGCACAATGGTTAGGTCAGGAGAAGATTCCGCACACTGTATTTTTACCAGAAATGGATGTTCCAAGAATATTAAGAAAACGTTGCTCTATCCTACAGGCAAAATAGTTTCCTCGGTAGGTTACGAGAACGAGAGCACAACATCAAGAAAAACTGTTCCAATGGGGCAAGAAACAGGAGCAGTCAGACAGGTTATGAACAAACCAACAGATCAGCAATACTCGTAATGTAGGCTGCTAGGTCAAAGCTGAACAGTGAGTGGGTCTGTGAACTGTGATGGATGTTTACAACAGATAGTTCAAATTGTATTGTTCGCGTTTGTTTCCAACCTGTCTCTCGCATTGTCCACATATCGAAGAAATGACTAGTGTGCTAAAGTTAAGGCAATCGATAAAACCAATGGCCGACTGTAAGGAGATGAAACCAAAGTTGTAATGAACCATAGTTTTTATTTAAAAACATGGCTGACTGAGCATGTTTGGGCCCAGAACTGCAGCTCTAGGTCAGGCTTGGACAGACATTTCAGAAAAATATATATATTTAATATTTTATTAATAATGCATGCAACTGTAATTGAGCCAATTATTAATGTATTAGTTGTGATGATAACTTATTGTAAAATGTAGTTTACTTTAGCTTGTAATAAACTATTTAAATTATTTGGATTTCAAGCTGAAATCATCTTGGGTGGGGTTAAGATTTATTGATGAATGAAGCAATAGCAGCGAGCAAATTAACAGTAAATATTATACGGTAAACAGGCATGAGAAAAGTACAAAGAATGTGGATGTAAGTAAACAGATGTAAAGAGAAAAAGCTTCAACAGAAAATCAAAAATTCGGAAACATCGAGAGCAGCACAGGAAACGCTTAAATACACTTAAGGAGCAACTGAAGATACAGATGGTGATAAATGAAAGAAAAAACCTGATCTCAACTGAACATCCTGTGCAACTCACATTAAAGCTGCAGTAGGTAATGTTTATAAAATAACTTTACATAAGACAGATAATCCATGAAACGATCAGGTTCCAGGAGCGCTAGGAGGAGCCAGAGGAACCTGATCGTTTCACAGTTTATCTGTCTCATGTACTACTGTCAGGATATAGTGAAAGTTTCAGCAAATAAGACAAAAGAAGGACCGACTGCAGCTTGAAAGCCTTCTGTGTAGGAATTGTTTTTCCTCTACCACCTGGGACCTCTTAAGTCTTCAGTGTGCTTTAAACATGTACTTGTCAGATCAGTTAACAACATTCACAACCTCCTGTCCAATGACTGAATTAGAGGATGCCCGACAATCACAGCCACTTTATGCAGCGATTAGTTCAGTGTGCAGAGGAAAGAAATTAGTAAGGAGGATTTGACCTCAATTCTCTCAACCTCTCTTTGCATTTGAACAACCAACTGCAGCACTATCAAAGCCTTGAAACTGTATCCCCATTGGTATAACTCATCACGCATCGAACCCTCTCTACGATGGCTGGCTGAGTGTGCAGCTAGAGACACTTTTGCCTTCAGCCACTGAAGAAATCCTTTGTCTCAAACCTAACCCTTACGATAAATGGACTGAAAGCAACACACAGACTGCACCAACTGTCGCTCAGATTGTTTATCTGCAAACAAAGAATCGCAAACAAAACTTCCACACAGAGGCTTTCCTCTCAGACCATATCTATCAGTTTAACTGAGCCTTGTTCAGCCAGCCAGAGCTCGAGCCCAAAAGCCACAGTCTGTATCTATGAAATATGACAATGTGGTTTTTACCCTTTCCAGCCACGCTGCCCTGCAGACAGCCCTGTCTGCAGGTTTTTTTTTGTTATTTATTTGCCCTTTTGTGTCATTGAAATAAAGAAATCTACAAAGAGACTGCCTTGTTGCCACTCAGTCAGTCAGTCATCCAAGATGTGAGCTGAATGGCTGCTCACCGTCCGTGCTGCTGCATGGAGCACGTCGCTGTTTGCGTACAATGTGTCAAAATATCCAAGTTGGAAATAATCAACACACCGTTTAGCTAGCACAAAACTGTCTGTCACACCTGTTTAGTTTAGTCAGATTGAAATGTTTTGTTTGAAGATACAGTATACAGGGGGTCCTATAACAGGCTGAGGCTGTCTGGCAAGATTAGTTAAAGGCAAACTCTTTCCAGGTGCTGGGGAGTATTACTGCATATGTGAGTCTTGGAGAACCTTTAGTGTCTCCAGAGGAAGCTGTGTGAAAGCTGATCAATATCCTCAAGTGATGTCACTTGAGGCAGTGCCAGGTGGGGTTGAAGGCTACATGTTTAAAAATGAAAAAAAAATCTGTTTGGGTGCAGTTTCCAGACCACTGTAACCCACGTTGCATTGTGGGTAATTTAGGCGCATGGAATAAAAAAGACGATATCTCTGGTTCTGCTGCATAGAGTTGGATCCTTTTTATAAAAAACAAAACAGCAGCCCATTGTGAGTGAATGTGTTCAGTTTCACTGGTTTTAGTAGGAAAAACCCTCCGTTCATAGTGTTTGGTACATGTTTCCAGTTTGATCAGATTCAAAGTGTAGCCAGTTTAATAGAGAATTATGCTACATGTGAAAACATCTAGTTCAAATTCTTCCTTAAAGGAATTTTTAAGTAAAAGTGAATACTTGTGATATTAAACAGAGTATATTTGAGTTTTGTACTGTTGGTCGGACAAAATGAGATTTAAATATGTAAACTGTGAAAACCTTTTCTAGACCAATCGATTAGAAAAATGAGCAGTTTAATTAATGACAATAATTTTTCAAGCCCAGTTTTACCCTACATGCTTCATCAGCTTCTCACAGCAGGCCTGTGGGTGCTGTCACTCCACAGTAGATGCCATTCAGCACCAGCGCACCCATGCTAATACCTCCCATGTTACCAAAGCTCAAGCAGAACCACTAGCACATGTTGAATGTGGACATAGCACTGTAGTGTTCAAGCAGCATTCCCGTTGTCGCGGCAGCCATCCTCACTTTTGCTGGCAACCTAGTGAAGTCAGAGCGGAAGGTTAGAACGGCTGGGAAACAAACTGCCACCACCCAACCCATCCACACCTACTCCGAGGAGAAATGGAGAGAACAGAGACATGCTGAGGGTGAGAGGTGTGTGACTGAGGCACAGGTCAGTAGTAAAGAGCCAAAGCCAACCCATAGATTTCTTGTTAATTTAATTGAGTAATTCAATATAAAACATCATCAAAATGGAGAGAAAAAAAGGAAAAGCAAGATAAAGACTTCTGGCAAAGTGAGCACACAGTCCATGCTGATCAGAGACGAACATTTAGCCTGCAGCACCACCTTCTCTAAATCCGGCAGGTCGACAACTCTTTTTGTAAAGACATCTGTAAACAGGTAGCCGTTTTACATGACAGCAGACATAATGGACTTTTAGCACCACCGCACCACGCTGTGTTCTAATTTTTAAGCTTCTGTTGTTTGCCCGATAATTTTGTTTTGACAATCATCTCACTTATAGGAGAAACTTGGGTTTTAACTTTCGTGGCTCTGGACACGAGCTGTTGGACGATCAGACAGGTTGGAGGCAAACTGAAAGTGTGCACGCCTGAAATATTGGCAATCATTCCTCATTGAACAGGAAAACTGGGTGCGCACAATTACAACAGACAGTTTGGGTCTTACAGATCCGGTTTGCCTTTGGTCTTTTAGCTTTGTTTACAGCCTGTCCGATCCTCTGTCTTGGAGCTATTTTTCACGATCCTGCTTTGTTCCCATATCTCAGAAATTCATTTGGTGAGTACAATGTTATCCCAGCTGATGACCAGAGCTATGAAAATTAAATTCAAGCTGCAATAATGTTTTATTTTGAAGGGCAATACCAGTGTTATAGCTCATTTACTACAAATCATGTACATGTGACTTAACTGTAAAGCAGTAATGTTTTCTTGGCATGATGGAGTATTTTAGGTTGAGGTTTCTGAATTGTGTATTTTCCCTCCCCTTAAAAAAAGCAATGTGTAGGATTTAGTGGCAGAAACTACAGTGGCCGCCAAATCAGTGAAAAAAACAACTCTAGAACCAGTGTTTGGTTTGTCCTCTCTGGGCTACTGTAGAAACATGGCAGTTCAACATGGCAGACTCGGTAGAAAGCTGCTATTATGTTTGTGAAAGTTAAAGGTTCCCCTATGGGGGTTTCTAGTAAACAACAAAAGTTGTGTTTTACATTCAGTTTCTTAACAAAGCACACTGCATGTATCCTAGAGGTTTTGTTTGTTGGTGCATGACCGCCACTGACTGTGGACCAGTGGAGCGGTGGGAACCATAAGCACGGAGGTGTTGCATCACCGCCGTCTTGCAAACACATCGAGTAGCTGCTCTAAAAAACTAAAAAGATTACTCCACAGCGCTACTAGTGGTCAAATACTCCACAGAGTATCTTTTAATGTTGTGAGTGCAGACAATAACGTAACTTTTACAAAAATAAAAGCAGACATGATGTCCACTGGGATGGATTACTGAACTCAAAGAAGTCTCTGTAAACTGTCTTTTACGCTATGATGAAATGAATGAAGTCTAATGGCTTCCTCAAAGACAGACAAAAAACACAAAGTATACGTGATTTATGATAAATGCAAAAACACTGGTACAGTCCCTTAAGAACAATGTGAATGCCTTATAAATAAAGTAAAAGAAGAATTTGAGAGAAAATAATGACTCTTGTGCTTGTTCTTTTTCAATTTTGATCAACAAATGCTTTACATTCCACAAAGAACATGAAGTGCAGTCGAGCTAAAATGACGCCATAGACCAAATGGTTAATTGTAACTTTAAGGTCTGATCTTTGATGAAGGCTACTCTGAGATCAGATTTTCCATCGCTTATCGTCTCTCAGAGGAAACGGCTGCAGTACAAATTTCATCAACTCCTTCAACACGGATCAAAAACTGTGCAATCAACTTTTGTGAGAGGGGAAAGGGAAGGTGTGTAAGGCTATTATGCCGGCCCACTCCAAACATGTACCACGTGAGGCAGGAAAATAAAGTTCACTCACAGAGAAGGTGAAAGTCACAACTGAGGAACCAACCCACAGAGAGAGAGAGCATCGATAAAGAGAGAGAGATAGGTAATCTTTGCCACCACACACACAAGTCAAAAAAAAATAAACGGAGCAGAGCAGATCAGTTTGCAGTTTGTTTGTTTCCTGTTGTTTTCTTACTACTGTTTATACCTTACTCCGGAAGAGGGGCTTAGCGCCGGGGCCACAGTACTCATTGTATATGAGCTTGAAGAGGAAGAGGTGGAAGAGCGTTATGAGCGAGGCCACGCTGAACCAGAAGAGGAAGGGCAGGCCTGGGTACCTGTTGGCCATGTGCTCCTCATGAGCCAGAATGGCCTTGAGGTGCAGGGTGTGGCGGAGGTCCTGCAGGTGGCGCAGGTCTGTGGAGATGTACAGCAGCGGCGTGATGGGCTGGGTCACCATCACCGGGAAGATGTGACCTTTGATCTCTGATGTCAACTCCACGGGCTCGTTGAGGCAGCCGGCCTCGCATGCGTACAGCTTCACCGGCTTCTCCTGCGGCTTCACCGACACGTGGAGAAAAGGCTTCCCCTCCACGTCCAGCAGCACCGCCAGGTTAATGAGGTCCTGGTTGTAGTGGATCCCTCTCAGGGCGTAGCTGTTGTGCAGCACGTCCGGATCGGCCTGGAACTGAAGGTGGTTCTCGGTGAACTGCAGGCCGCCAAAGCTGAGAACCATACCCTGCATGGCTCCGTGGGCTCCGGCCGCCACCAGCACCTTGCAGCCTCTCTTCTGCAGGGTCAGGGTCCACAGCGTGACCAGCTGCAGGATCTGAGCGGCGCTGCTCACCCGCTCGGGCCACAGGTTCTCTGCGTGCATGGTGGCGTGGCCGCTGAAGCAGTGGTCGGCGTAGTTGAGGCTGGACTCGAGACGAGCTCGCTCCTCGCCACTCAGCCTTCGATCCAGCAGGGGAGCCGTGGTGGAGGACAGGATGTAGTAGAGGGTGGTGTTCACTGTGCGGCTCGACGGCGTGTGGGAGTCTGTGATCTTCCTCATTTCAACACCTGAATGAACAAAGACACACAAGTTCACAAGTTCCACATTATTCCTCACCTTGTCCACCTACTAGCTTTTCCAGAGCTTCAGACTACGATTACTTTATCACAGACTAGGGTTGGGCAATATAAGGCCATATACAAGGTTCAACATGAACTTTTTGGTCTATCTGCCAATGGCTCGCAAACTGAAAAAAATGTAGCCCGACAAAATATTTCTCAGCTGGCCATAAAACTGAACAATGTCTTTAAGAGTTGATGAAAAACAAACCTTAGTTAATGAACTCATGTGTTGTGGTGATGATGTGAAGTAGGCCTATTTCAGCAACCCACCAATGGTGACTGACCCCTTTTATTTTATTTGCTCATGTAGAGTTTTATTCACATTTGGCAAGTACTCATTTTGGACCCTGGTATATATGGTGCAACAGTAGAAATATGTCCACCGGTAGAGATTTGGTAATACCGTCTCCCCTGCAGGAGCTATCCCTTAGTGCAGTGGTTCCTAACCCTTTTCTTTAAAGGGACCCTTTTTCTATCACTGAGTAAACCGATTACCCCTGACTGTGACATATTTTATGGATATTTCATCTAATATAAAATAACAATAACAGTAGAGAACAACTGATTAACTGTACAGTGAACCCAAACAGGGAACACAATAACTGCAGGAAGTTTGTGTAAAACGAGATTATTTCCTGTGAATGAGAGATGAGTTTTCCTGATATTTTTATATTATATTTATATTTACTTCTTTTTTGACAAATGTACTGTTTCCTTCTCATTGTTCTATTAGCTCTTTGGTTATTTTAACTGTGTATTGTTCTCTCTGAATACAGCTTGTGTTCACGTCTGAAAGTTTAAATCTTTGAACTTTAAAAGTAACAATTTCAATCGGTTTTCTTCACAAACAAGAACGAAATGTTGAGATATAGGCCTCCTTTATATACTTTAATATATAATATTTCTTACACCCCTTAAAATCAAGACAGCTGAAGCTTTGGTAACCCCTAGTGGTGGTCCAGACCCCCAGGTTGGGAACCACTGCCTTAGTGTCTCTGCTTATATATATATATATATATATATATATTCGGGGCAGGCAATGAAACAAATAATGTCTGGATTCTCATGTGACTGCAGTAACCTCTAAGCTGGTTGCCAACTGCTGCAGAAGAAGAGAGTGACAAGAAAACAAGGAGGAGGAGGGTGAAAGAGTGAATACAGAGCAGGAGGCATCCCAACCAGCTCAGAATTAGGGAGAAGAAAAAGGGGTGCGAAGTTCTAAATAAAGAAGAAAATAATCCATTGTGATAAGGTACGGTGTGGTGTACCATTTTCATATTTGACTTTACAGACCAATTACTGCATCATGATATATACCGTTACTGTGACATTATAAAATGAATTCTGTGCGTAGCATTTCCACCCAAAAATCCAGAGCTTTTGCTTTTAACTACATTTCAGTCATGTTTCACGTGAAAGGAAATGCACTGCATGTTAAATAAGGTTCAAATTAGTAGCCTATAGTATGCAGCCGGGACCCAGTTTGTGGAAACGTCTGTTAGGAGACTTCCATTCAATGAGTGCAGGGAGTGAAGTAAAAGGACTTGAGAGTTGACCTTCCAGTTTGGCACTGATATGAGGCATTCACAGGGCAGACAGATCAACCAGAGTTCAAGGGATGGTCCATTATCTGAAACACGCTGCATCAGATAATAGCCTGTCACATAAACCGCAGAGTAAGTGGCTAGCTGGGAGACGTGGAGTGATGCTGAAGCTGTTTGTTTCCACACAATAATGTTGTTTTAACCGTCCACTTTATCTAGCCTGTGGCCGCTTTGTAGCTCATTTATCAGCTTGAGTTCAAACTCCATAGTGCATACATTGCCACAGCAAATGACTATATGTTGTTCATTCATAAATGCTGCAATATATACAGTATATATTAGTATATATGAGGATAATATGAGGAAGTAAAGCAAGGGATGGGGAGAGAGGAGACATAGTGGAGGGGAGAAATGGAGAATGCAACAGTGGAGACATATGACAGAAATATGGTGAGAGTGAGTGAGCTCAGGAGTCAGTCTGGAAAGTAGGTTGTTAGTTCTGTCTCGATGAAGTACTGCTCCTAAACGATTTTAAAGGCCCAGTGTGTAATCCTTTTAATTATATGTTTTCTGAAGCTGTTCAAACGTCATTTGCATCAGTTATGTTTGCAGCCAGAATGGTAAAACTGGCAGATCATTTCAGTTCAAAAACTATTTAGTCATGTGGCTTCAAGTCTAAAAACATGGTCTGTTTTGTTGTTTCAGTAGGGGATTGACTGATAATAATCAGTAATAATAATCAGTAATAATCAGTATCTGTAGCAGCCCTGAAAAAGGTACAGTATAGTAATCAAGGCTTAGAATATTTGGAACCGATATACATTTGCAAAAAACGAAAATCTTTGTGTCAAAATTTAGAATAACCAGTGGTGGAGTGTAGACTTACTCAAGTACTGTACGTGAGTACAATTTGGGGTATTTCCATTGAATAACTTTATACTTCTACTCCATTACATTTTGGAGGCAAATATTGCGCATTTTATTGCATTGCATTAGATTAGATTTATTTGATGAGTTTAGTTACTTTGCAGATTCACATTATCAACACAAGATATAAATCATAGATAATCCACCTTTACCAGCTGCAATGTTACAGCGATGAACACATTAATGCATCAACCATTACAATCCAGTAATATATATTATTCTGAACTTTTTACTCTTGGTACTTTAAGTATATTTTGATGCCAATACAGTATTTTTACACGGTGGCACTGCTACTTTCACTTACGCAAAAGTACTTTAGGCATATGTTTTTAAATATAAATGAAATGCTGTGCATAAGGCTGCTTGTGATTAAACATTTTACATTTGAGAATCTTGGCTTTTTTTTCTTAATGGAATCTGGCACCCTGTGGAAAAGCGGAAAACTACCAAAGTAAGGTATGTGCCGTCTAACTATATTTATGTCTTGTGGCTCTATTTAGCTCCTAACAGAGGATATGCACCTAACCTGCTGACAGAACATGTGACCTACAGTAAAATCCCTTCAGAGCTGATGTCTACAGCGCTCAGCTGTTTCACAATATGTGAAGTGATTCAACACAGTTATATCACCGCCTTTGGAATCAATATATCAATCTGAATATTTCAGGCAGCTGTTGGTTTCCCTTCCATAAACAGATTAACCCTAGTGTGTCCCTTTAAAACCCAGAGCCTGCTCCAACCTGAGCTCACCTGAAATAAAGAGGTCCATCCAGGCCTGCTGGTGATCTACAACCAGCTCATCCACGCTGGCCCTCAGCAGCTCCCCCAGCTCCTTTTTGGCTCCATCTCTGAGGGTGCTGAAGGTCTCCTCCAGCTTGGAGGACTCGATGGGCTCCGAGGTCCACACCACTGACAGGATGTTGTCAGTGTACTCGGATTTAGCGGAGACCTGGAACCTGCTGTTCACCTTCTTGGTGACCACCACCACCAGCACCATCCGGTTATTCTCCACAGGCACTCTGCCGGAGAAGAGCACTATCTCTCTGTCCTCCAGTTTCTCCACGCTGGTGGAGAACTTGCTACCGAAGGAGGGATTTTCAGAGGAAACGTCCAAGGAGGCGGCTCTGTCGGACGGGTTGTTGACGTGGATCCGCTGGAGATAGACGTTAGGTCTGCTCCTGTGTGCGATGAACTCCTCTCTGATGGTGACACAGTCCCGGGCTGACTGCAGAGCGGCTGGTGAGGCACAGCGGACTGACAGCACGGCTCCTTTCCGGAACCACAGCATGGCAGCCTGCGCTTCGGCCCGATTCCCCTCGAGATGGACGCCCAGTCTCGGTGAGTATTCAGTCTGGTGGACCGGAGCCGAGCCGGGCTGTGAGGAGGACGCTACCCACAGTTTGTTAGAGTCAATGTCAACCAGAATATGGCCGTTACCTGATACAAAGGGTGTATCCAGTTGTTCCTGAGGTGTGCTGTATATCCCCTCTCCTCGCTCTACGAGAGAGTTCCACCTGTGGATCTCAGCCTGTAGGCACTGTCCCGCCGCCCCGCCGGGCATAGCCGAGCCGCCGAAGAACCTCCATCTGCGCTCCGCTCCCAGGTACCAGTAGAAGATGAGGAAGAGGAGCAGCCCTATGAGGAGTCTTCTCGCCCAGCTGCTCGATAACAAGCCTGGTAGCCCCTTTAGTCTCTGCTGTAGCCACATTGCGTGTGGAAATGACGGAAGCCCAGCGAGGAGTCGGTGTGTGAACACTGCACCCAGGGTGCTTGAGGCTGGAAATGTGAGGCCGTCACATCGAACAGGGCTCGAACTGGCGTCGTTAGCTTCCGGCTCAGTTAGCTTAGCTAGGTGGCTAGCGTTGTGGACGGAGGCTGTGGGAAATGTGCCGTTGTTTCTTGCATCGTGCTTGTTGTCATATCCTCCGACGGGTGTGTATGGCAGCCGTCAGGTGGTCGAGCCTCGGGTCATTTGGTTGTTTGACTGCTTTCAGGTTGAAAACATCAGCTGTCACTAACTGCAGCCAGCGGCTCACACTTCTGGTCTGTCACAACGGTCGGAAAGCAAAACGACACAGCAACGACCGGAAATGTCGTAAAACCAGTGACTGTGTGTATCGATGGTGTGTATTTATTTATTTATTTATTTATTTATTTAGATAAAACTTTAATAAAGTTAAATACATTTTCAGGAAAGATAATGGAAAATAATATAGGATTAAAAACGGATTAATTAATTTAATTAAATGGTATTGGTTACAGTGAAAACATGAGATACATGTAAAATAAATAAATAACAGGTAAATTAAACTAAAATTAAAAAGAATACAAAATAGAAATGATACAAGCATTTGGGGACAAAATAATAATATGTATATAAAAGTGACAGTGGTGCTATTAATAGCAGCAGAGTCAACAACTCTATGTACTGTAAACACCAGGCAAGTAATATATGCTATGAATAAGTAATTGAACCTTGCTTTTGTCTTTATGTATGGCACATTAACAAGGTATAGTATAATATAATATGGTATATATTGATATGGTATGGGATATGAGATGAAGTATAACGTGAAATGTAATAATAATAGTAATAATAATAATACATTATATTTATAGAGCACGTTTCACACAACAATTAATCACACATTAAAAGCAGTTGTGAAAAGATGGATTTTTATTAGTAACGTGGACAGATCAGTACAGTCTCGGATGTGTTTGGGGAGAGAGGTCTAGAGGGAGGGGGCAGTTCTGGAGATATAGTATAGCTATGTAGTGACATAGCATAATACAATATAGTACAGCAAAATAACATTGCTATAACATAATATATAATAAACATAATATGAAGTATAGTGCAGCAATACAACATCAGTTGGAATATAATATGGTAGGCCTATAGTATATTGTAAAATATAACAAAATATATCAACAAATACAGCAAAGTGTATCAATCAGTCCAGCAAACACTGTGGGAAAATGGGTCTGTAAGTGCTGTGTAGTGCTATAGACTGTGTGTGTGCTGTTGTCTGGTGGCAGCGGGTTACAAATGAGTGCCTGAAGCGCCCATTTGCACCTGGGTGGGAGGATTTGGTGGCTGAATGAGCTGCCCGTCTGCCACAGCTCTTCGTAGAGAGGGTGAGAGGTTTTTTTCCAGGGTGGCTTTGATTTTGTCCTTCGTCCTCCTCTCTGCCACTGACTCCAGGTTGTCCAGTTCCTTCCTGACCACACTGCTGGCTTCCCTCACCAGATTGTTGAGTCTGCTGGCCTCACCAGCCCTGAAGCCCCCATCCCAGCCCATCACAGCAAGGAACAGTGCACTGGCTACTACAGACTGATAGAAGATCAGCAGGAGCCTGTGGCACACGCTGACAGATCTAGTCCCTTCCTGAAGAGGGCGTTGGTGTTATGAGACCAGTCCAGTAGTGATGGGAATTCCGGCTCTTTTTAGAGAACCGGTTCCTTTGGCTCGGCTCACTAAAATGAGCCGGCTCTTTCGGCTCCCAAGTGGCTCCTCAGATTTTTTGTTGCTTAAATTAATTTATTACCAAAATGAATATCTAATGTAAATACATACATTATATCAAATGTTTATTATTTTTATGGATTTATTAATATACTCAACATGGAATTTTAAAATACAAAAACAAAGACCCATCTCAATTAGACAAAAAGCTGCTCAATATGAAATTTTTAACTATGCAGTCTACACTCTGCCTTTGAACTGTCTATCACATATATACATATATGTCCAAACTTTACTACATTTTCTGTCACTCATTTTCCTCACCTTTCCAGTGTGTAGTGTCTGTCTATGTAGCAAGTTCTCTCGCTCTGTCACGTCTCCCTCCCACCTGTTCACATGCTCACTGTGCCGTGTGTGTCTGTAACCCCTCCCGCCACCCTCCTGCTCAGTGTAGATACACAGACGCCGCCGCACATCTTGACCAATCACGCAGCTTTAACAGAAAAAAACGAGGAAAAACGGGGAAAAAATCCAGATCTGGCTCCCAATCAGGAGCCGGCTCCCGTCGTTCACTTCAAAGAGCCGGCTCTTAGAGCCGGATCGTTCGGGACCGACCCATCACTACAGTCCAGTTTATTGTTGGCAAAAAATATCATGGCAATGGCAGTGCTTGTAGATGCTCCCTAGAACTTGAATTTGCTGTTTTTTCACCTTCACTGAATTACTGAAGCACGTATTTCTTATGATAAAAAATAAATACATTCTTTTTTTGGGGGGGCTTTTATTGCCTTTAATTGACAGTACAGCTAAAGAGTGACAGGAAGGGGGGGGGGGGAGTCCATGATCCAGGATGCAGCGTCAGTGTACCGTTGCATTGCTGGAAGCCAGAGGAGAGCTTGTGAGTCAGGAAGAGGATGGCATCCTCCAGTCAGATGTTTGGTTGGGATGCAAACTGCAGTGGCTCCAGGTAATCAGTTAGAAGGACCTGAGCTTGAGAAGAGCTACAGGTCTGTTAGTCATTGAGAGCACTGGGGCGTCCTTTCTTTGGCACTGGAACAATGCAGGAGAGCTTCCATAGGTTAAGCGCCTTCCTCAACCTCAGGGAAAGATTGACGAGGTGCTGGACGGCTGCTGCAAGCTGACGAGTGCACACATTGTTAACCCAGGGATAACCTAAGCCTAGGGCTATACAATTGACACTGCACGTCTACCAGCCCTGAGTTAATTATCAGTTGGAATGCATGACTAATGTTTACATCTATGTGTACATTCTGTTTGCTTAAGCCCCGTTTCACACTGGCACCTTTCAGCCCAGCGTTTAGTTGATTTTCAGAGGATAATCCCACAAACTCAGGGCTATCCCTGCAGGGCAAGCTAGCTCTAGGCTAAAGTCGGGGTTAGCCTGCTTTGGAATGAGCCCGGATTGTGTCATTGAAAGCTTTCTTAGCCTGGGCAAAGTGCAGTGTGAAAAGTTATTATTATCTTTTCTTTTGGACAGCGCAGAGCTCCTCGGGTTCCCTTGCCACGAAAGCAGTCTTCTTCCTGTTGAGAAGATGTTTGATCTCCTTATTAGTTTGTTGTTTGGGAAGCCTGTTTGGATGGTACATTGCTGCCCCATAGTCCCCCTGGAACAGTTCCCAATCCATAGACCAAACCTTTATAGTCCCAGTGCTGGCCACCTGTTGCGTCACCAGTCGCTTGTAGGTGGCTACAAGGTGTGTGGATTGTGGTCTGAGGAGCTGTATGCCCACTTTACATACAAGGATTTTATTTTCTCCTATTTCAAACATATTGTTTGGAGTTTGTCAGGGTGGAAGAGAGGAAGACATGACTGAAATGCCCACTGATCCATTATGAGGGTGCTGGGGTGTTGTGTTTGAAGTCCCACCATGATGTTATCTGTGCTCACCACCGCAGCAGCTGGTGGAATTCAAACAATCACAGCAGACTGTATCTGCGAGTGGCAGATACAGTCTCAGTCTCAATCCAACCACCATAAGTTCAAGTTAAGTTAACCTTACTATTTCATATAACAATTGCTTAAATGGACATGATTTTTGTTGACAAAAATCACATTTATTTATGTCTTTATGGTAAAAAGGGATTAAATAGTGGAGGACATCCTATTGTTGGAGACCAAAATATTGACTTAATATCTCAAAATAATGACTTTGTGATACTAAGTCAAAATTATTTCTATGGATTTTACTGAATATTATCAGGGCAAGAACATTTACAAACTGTAACCATTTTTTAACCATTCTCAGTGCTAGAAGATAAGAATACATAAGGTTAAAGTTTATTAGGTACAGACAGGTAAAACTACTGCTCTTCATGGAGGTTTTTCAGTTTTTGTTCAGACTGTTTTAGAACAGTGTTGATTCAGCTGTACGCTCCTTCTGGAGGACGTAGCAGAGTCACTCATTTGAGAAGAGTTTGTGCTGGTGTTGCATTGCATTATACAGTACTTCCAGTGGTGCCTGGAGAAGTGGTAGTATATTTTTAATTTATGCCCAATTTCTTTTTCTTTCTAAAGTGGCTGTCCAGCAAAGGATAAACACCCTGTGTTATAAGCAGTGGCATGTAAGACTGCTTTTGCACATTGTCACTCAACTTCTGCTGCTTGACTTCAGTAAGGATCATAAATGAAGTTAACATTAGCCACAGAGGAGGGGCAGATATTGCAATGAATACTGGCTCACAGATGGGTGAGACAACATTATTATGCATTTTAGTGAAGTATTCTTCATTCCAACTCCAACTGTGTCATACTTTTGCAGTCCTCAATAAAAAAAAACGTCAACTTGCAGAACACTACTGAATAACAGGCATCAGAGGGGATTTATTAGTTGTTATACCCAATGCTGACTTAAATAAGTGGGTATACTCTGTATACCTGCGTATATCCTGCACAACACCATTGAGTATTTCTAATGTTTCATCTAATTTTATATATATATATCCACATTTATTTCACAAATTTGCTCCCCGGGGGCTTCTACTGTAATAAGATATTCAATTTTACGGTCATACACTGAATTTTGACATTTTATAACGACTTCATAAACACAAAGGTTCATTGGTATGGGAAGCACAGGCTACGTGCAACTGCTCATGTCCACAGAACAGCTGGGTCATCACTTTCAAACAGCCTTTTTTTCCCATTTTGGAAGTGGGCGTTCCGAAAGCATGCAGCCTAACGTTAGTTTAACTCAAATCTGAACATGAAATCTGAATGACACAAACATTACACAGGAAAATCCAAACTACTACTGTTTTACTACTCTTTTTCAGATTAAGTACAAGCAGCAGAAGAATACGTTCATCTTCCACTGCAACTCTGTAAATCACAGTCTGTTGTATTGAAAGAGAGAGAGAAAGTGGGAGAGGGAAGAGGGGGGAGAGAGACATAGGCAGACACAGAGGGAGAGAGAGGAGGGGGGGCAGCAGGCGGTGCTGGCGGAGTTAACGCAGTCCTGCGAAGTTCGCTTTCTCGAACCGACTGGAAAAGTTTGCACTTCGGTTTAAACCGGGAGCCGTGAAGAGACTGCAGCTTTAACTTAGCAAAAATGAGACTGTGGTCCTTGCTGTTGTTCCCAGGGCTTTTAGTCTGTGTACTTTTCCCTCTAACAGACTGTGAAGAGCAGCGACTCCCCGACGGTAAGTCAGGAATGTTGTGTGTATTTGCACCCTCAGTATACACTGTGCTGTCTCTACATTTTAAAGCTAATAGCGGCGTTTGAAGGTAAACTGTCTCCCTGTATCAGTGCAGCTTAGGACACCCAGGCTTGGTGTGGGCTGGCGGAGACTCCCCAGCTCATGTGGCGTCCAAAGGAAAACCTCCAAGTTAACAATAAACGGTCGTACCTAACGACACAAAAATGTCCGTTAGAGCATTCTAGAAGTCTGTAGTCCATACACCGTTGTGCTCGAGCCCTCCTTCCTCTGTGAATCAGGTGTTAACTGACGTTAGCTAACTAGCTACCATATAAAGCTACAATATAAATGAAGCTAACCGGTTGGAAAAGCTGATTTTGTTGATACACGCGCTGCTCATGGCGCTTGGTGCATGCCGAATAGTTTAAAACTCACAAAAGACACCAACTACGTTGTCTTATAACTTATCTGTACGTTTTTTCCCATTTAATAATGCAGTTTTAAGAAAGAAATGAATGGAGTTTAACAGTATTTGCCTCCGTTACATGAGAGAGAAAGCTGCACGTAACGTTAGTTAGTGAGGCGCTGACGTGGACGGGGCTGCTGTCAGCGCTGCTATTAATATATGAACGTTAGCTATGGCCCATAGGTATGCTGTAGGTACGAGTCTAGTTTAAAAGTGATGTTAATTAAAGACAGATATGGATCAATAAAGAATAAAAAAAATAATTTTGAAACTTTCTTTCAGTCTTAGCGAGGTATAACAAAATCCACCCCGGTTAAAGGAGGCTGCACTGTCTCATAAGTAGCAAGTATTGAATAATTCATAAAAAATAAACAGTTTTCATAAATAATAGAATTTGTTTCCAGTGCAGTCTCCCTCGGGACTTTCCAGAATTGAATGCAGGGACATTGAATCAGGGCACAATAAAGAGGAAACAGGGCTGCAACAACGCAAAAGACACTTGATAAAAGAAAACTTTGAAACAAGATCCTTTCTCTTGAAAACTGGTGAAACTTTATTTTATTGAAATAATTCTTCAGGACTAAATGAATGGGTGAAGTGTAGATATAGTTTTGTGCCATGTGATTCAACTTCTTTCATCAACAAATCTGACTTCAGTCTCAGCAGTATGTGTGTGGTTTATGGTATACTGATGGTGGTAGACTGTCCTCATACTATAGAAAGGTGCTGTCCTTAACTTCTGAGCTGTAGTTTTATTATGGATAGGGAAAGTTAAGACAGAAAATATCCAGAAATATATTTACAAACCACATCTTTAGAAACCCTCTAACATTATACTTGTAAGGTGACATTTCACAAATGATTTCTTATTACATTGACCAAAAATATTGTAGTGTGTTTGTCACTGCAGTTAATAACCCATGTATTACAACAAGCAAATGATAAAATAAAATAAAATGTTACAGTATTTTTGGGGCCCTGAACAAAAGCTCCATATGTAAGTGCAAATATGAAAGCAATAAAATGTTTGTATTATTACTTAAATAAATGAAATAAAGGCAAAACTGAACAGAGACCTTAACATTTAGTTCCCTCATTTGTGCCCCATGTAGCCTTCGGGGCACAAAGCAATGGGGCCCTATGGCAGTGGTTCTCAAACCTTTTTCCTTAAGGGACCCCTTTTCTATCATTCAGTAAACTGACAACCCCTGACTAAGTGGCCTCTTTTATGGAGATTTCATATTATATTAAGAACTGTACAGTTAAGCCAAATAGTGAACTCACTGCAAGAAGTTTTTGTAAAAGGAGTGATGCATTAATGGATTAATTATAAGCAGATTATTTCCTGTTTAGGAAACTTTATACAATTTTCTGTATTATGTATGTTTTTATCATTCTTAACAAGCACACATATTTAATAGGCTTCTTTTTGGACAAAATCAGAGTCATTGTTCTCTCAGACAATTTACTTTACAGTTACTTTTCTTCACTCAAGTGAACCAAATGCTGAGATAAATTGTATATTTAAGTTTTCTAGAACGCCTTAAAATCAAGAAAGCCTCACGATCCTCAATGAAGCTTTAGCAGCCCCTAGTGGGGGTCCTGACCCCCAGGTTGGGAACCATTGCCCTATGGTGACAATCAGGCTGCAAAATTAGCCTTTTACCTCCAGCCAAATGGTTAGTGAATGTTTCACTGACTTTACCTGTCACTCAACGGAACACCATTATTCATTTTGGCTTGTGAGTGAAGCAAATCTACCAGCCACTGGCATATTTTACCAGCTTTTGGCTTGTGGCTGGAGCTAATTTTGTGCCCTTGTAACAATGTCAAATTCATTTTTAGAAATATATGTATTGGGCCATTTGTTGGATAACGACAATCTAGACATGATAACAGAAATTATTTTACCACTTGTCAATAATCATTTAGCAGCCTGTTGCTTTGCTTTTGGTAATTTGATTAGTTACTTTTCACTCAAGTGAACCAAATGCTGAGATAAATTGTATTACAGGACTTTGTGCTTCTCATGTACAGCACAATATCAACAAAGGTGAACCTGCATTATTATTTCATTTTGTGGGCCTGTCTTTTATTGTGCAGCTGTGGACAATCCAGTTGTGTGATGGGTGTTAAATGAGATGAAGGAACTGATGCTTATGATTTGATGAGTTAAAGCTCACTCTTTATTTCTTCTTGGTTTCTGTATGGTAAGACTCCCATCAATCATGCAGACTCATCAAGACATATATCACAGAAACTGTCAGTAACAGCAGTACCACTGGGTTGCTTCATGCTTAAGGCACAAAAAAGAAAGACGTCTACAGTATCATCTTTCTGAATTCCTCTATAATTTTGTGTCTTCCAGAGAAGCTTCTAGTTGTGACAGTTGCAACCAAAGAGACTGATGGCTTCAGGCGCTTCATGCGGTCGGCCAAACACTTCAACTACACTGTCAAGGTAGGAACCCCTGCGGCAAGATCACAGTTGATTTCCTGCCATCTAGCCATGAAAGCCTCTCTGTCAGTTCTTTAAAAGATAACAAATCCCTATTTTCACATCATAGTTTTGCCTCTGATGCAATATTTTTTACATGTAAGACTTTTTCAGTGCATTTGAGTTTCTGAAATAAACCATTGTAAAAGTGTCAGAGAAGATGAGTATTTGAGGATGAATGTGCATTGATGAATTCCTTTGAATGCAGTAAATGGATGTATGCCTGTTTTAAGGTACTTGGTCGAGGTCAGAAATGGAACGGAGGTGACTACATGTCAGCTCCAGGAGGGGGCCAGAAAGTACGACTCCTTAAAGCAGCTCTGGAGAAGATGAAGACTCAGGACAAAATCATCCTTTTTATTGACAGGTAGAGTTTCCTCCAGGCAGTCGATGGTCTCCATTCACTTCACTTTGCACAAACCTGTCTGCTTTTACTAGTTGTCAGTGTTATTGTACAGCTATGCACTTATATACACAGGTTAAGTCAGCAAGTCTTTGCTGCATTGCAGTAACAACAGAACAGTAAGTGCTTAATTAAACTGGTAGTATCATACGATGCAGCACAAACCTCTCTGAATGTTGACTCTGCTTACATTACAAGGCTAGCTTTTCTGTGTCTCGAGACTGAAATGTGTTGAACTGTTATTAGTTCACTCAGTTCCAGACTGTCTCATGTTTCATTTCACTAGGCTCATAGTCCAGCACAAGCTCCACCTCTACATCTAACTCACAGAGTTCTGGAAGACAACAAAATATGGGGACTACTGGATATCTTTGTTGAACTGTTTAATGAATAATTATTTAGTTATAGCATAAACTCTGGAAGCAGGGGGAAACAGCTAGCCTGGCTTTCACACTAATACCTCTAAAGCTCACTGATTAGTGTGTTTAATCTGTAAACGAGAAGAAATGTAAAAACGATAATATGTTTTATGTTTTAGGGGAGTTATGTGCTGGAACTATTATTTCTATTGTGAGCACAGGTTTTAGTTTTGGTCTCTGTGCAGATGGTACCAAACCTCACAACCTCACTGTAATGCAGTCACTGAACTGTTGTTCACTGAGCTACTGATTTTGTCAGTGCTAGTATGATTCAGTATTGTTGAAAGATGTGTTAAAGATGAATTTGTACATGGACAAAATGAAAGCATATTTCCCAAATTGTTGCACTAAAGCTTTAATGCAGAGTTCAAAGTACTGTAATAATGGTAGTATATGGGAGATGCAGTAAAAAGGCTGAAGTATGCAAACCCAAAATCAACAGAGAGCAAATGTTTTTTTTATTCAAGCAGTTCCTTTTATGCTAGTAAACACAACCACTGGCAGCTTAACTCTCCAAATAAAGAACGCTGGCATCTCATAAAAGCAACCCATTCATTTGTTTTAACTATGTCACTGGCTTCACACACCCCTGAGCCACACAGTAAAGGTTTCTATTTTCACCCCCCGTTTAACACAGCTACGATGTGATTTTCACCTCGGGTCCTGAAGAGCTGTTGAAGAAGTTCCAGCAGGCCAGACACAAGGTGGTGTTCTCCTCTGAGAGCCTGATCTGGCCCGACAGACACCTGGAGGACAAACACCCCCATGTGAGGGAGGGCAACAGGTTCCTAGGCTCAGGGGGTATGTCCTCCTCTCCTCTGCCAGTCTGTGTAAAACCTCCCTCTTTAAATCAAATAGCTTCTTGAAGCTTTGATTAGGGATCAACTTAAAACAGCCAACCACAGATAGTGTGTAACATTCAGGAGGATCTATTAGCATACATGCAATATAATATTCATAGATATGTTTTTATTAGTGTATAATCACCTGAATGTAGGAATCAAGCCAGCACAGACAGTAAAAAGAAGACTGCAAGCTGGTAAACATGGATGTAAACAATATATTATTTACAGTTATCAATACACAGTAAAATTTGCAGTATTTAAAACACTAAATGAATACAAAAAAGTTTTATGAGGAAGAAAATGGAGACCTGAAGGATGCAGACATAGAGTAACACTGAATGTAAACAGAATGTTTGTTTACAAGTAAACTCCACCAGACAGTTTTAACAGGAAGCTCTATCTTGTGCTATCAGAAACAGTTTATGTTGGCCTCTCAGTTGTAATCTCCAAGCATGAGATATCTTTGCATTGATGAACACAGTGATGATGTTAAAATTCAACAGGAAAAATAATTGTTTGGCATCTCTTAACACTGTTGTGTTCACAAGCAGCAGCTGTGGCTGTAGACTTTCAGTCTCGTTTTAATAACAAGCTAGATGTTTGAAGAAAGCAGTATGGTCGTTTCTTTTAATAGCAGAAACAGCAGGTCTTTAGTCAGCAGTCAGCTCCGGTTGAGGCCATTAAAGCTGGCAGTAGTCATTAGTCACGGCAATTTAAAACAGAGGATTTCAGTGTGGACGCTATGTGACAGCGTTCATATACATGAATACAGAAATAACAACAAGTCTAAATTCTGCCATATCTTCTCACTTCCTGTGTGTTTCCTCTGGGTTGGATTCTCTCCTCAGGTTTCGTTGGCTACCTTCCCAACATCAAAGAAATGGTTGCCGACTGGACAGGAGAAGACAATGACAGTGACCAACTGTTCTTCACCAAGATTTACATTGATCCAGCCAAAAGAGTAAGATTTGTTTCACTGCAGTGTTCACTTTATCCATCTGGATTAAACAGTAATAATTGTTTAATTATTTATAATAATAAATAAAGTATAAATGCTTTATTTTTGGATAGGGACAGTGCACATTAATGAACATCGATATTTAAACATCTCTGTAAACATGCCGGATTATAGCAAAGCAGCTAATTTGCATCTGTAGTCCCTAATAAATAAATAGAAAAAATACCAATAGAAGAGACAACACACACAGCACAATACATTACACAATCAGAAGGACACCAGACCCAGACAGGATATAACAATGCACTAAAAAGTATTTTTCATATATTTTAGTTTTCTGATCTGCTCCGGTTTTTATTTGCTGTTAATGCAAACTCAACACTTTCATATTTACCTGTTGTCTTGATACATTCAATATTATGTATATTTTTACAACACTAATTCTGACAATAATTCCTACTGTCAGTAGCTGTGTGTCCATTAACATATTTTGAAGTATCACATTAACAAAGTTTTATAAAAACTGCAAAATAAAAATAAAAACTCCTCAATTTATCCAAAAAGCTTTTACACTCACTTGAGGTGGCGTTATCGTGCTTAATGGGACATGGAAACACTTTCTTAGTGAATATTTAACTGCCATGACTGATGAGCTGTTTCCGCTGTGCCGCTCTCATGGCTCTATAATACGTCCATGATCTCACTCTCCAACACAATTCACTCAAAATTCGTTTGAAATTTGCAAAACATTTGGCTGGAATCACGGCTATTGAGACTCAGCACTTTAAGCACAGATGTTTCCGATTAAAAACCTTCCAGTAGCTCAGTATGCATAATCCCTCCTGTTCAGCCCATTGTTTGTCCTTTCCACATCTGAGGCTGTTGTTTTAGAATCACTATTTTCAAACTGGCTTTTATTTGCAAATGTATGCTATTACATATGATTACAGCAAATACACTGAAAACAATGTATTTCTGTGTTTCAGAAAGCCATAAATATCACACTGGACAGCAAATGCAGATTGTTCCAGAACCTTCATGGAGCCCTCGGTGAGTGCCTTGAATTTAGTTTCTTAGTCCAACCAGTGAATTCATGAAGTAAAAACGTTCCTCCCACACATGCCGCCTGTTTGACTGGCCACAGAGGTCCCTGCTCTGCTAGAAATGTTACCGTGCAGCCTTCCAATAACCCCTTTAAGAAATGTTATGTTTCTCATCATCCAGAAGGCAACAGTCCTTCATGCCATCCACAACATGTGACACTAACCAGCCACTGTCAGTGAACATCCGGCGATCGCCGACATATTCGCTCACACATTTGTGCCGTCCCTGCCATGCTGTGGAGGTAGACCATTAAATTTGCAAAATGAAATGACAAAAATCGGACCAAGAAAAATCAGTGATAGACTCGCCAATAGCCAATAGCTGATAAATCTGTCCACTTGCCCAAACCTAACAAGCACATAAATGTGTTTTCACTGTGGCCACACTAAGCTGTTTGTTTTAAATGTGACAGATAGCCAATCTTGAAAAGTTAAACTCATTCACTGTTTGCTTTTCATTACTTCAGAATTCCCTCGTTTTATATTCAAAATATGTGACCCTATTGCCATAGAGGTAACAGCACTTACAGGAAAGTGGAAGAGGCATTCTAATGATGCAGAATCACAGACATAGTGTAATCTGATTTACATTTACATTGTGTAAGCAAATATCGATACACTTGAGTATCAGAAACACTCAAAACATATAGATTTTTGTGTTTCAAGGTAAAAGTAAACTGAAGGCTATGATGTTGGCTATTACAGCGAAAAACTTTATTGACGTGTTCTTAACACTATGACAGTTTTCCTAAAAGAGATACACTTCATGGGCGCTGGTTTGCCTAGTGAACTAGTGGGTACACAGCCCTGTACTTAAGCAGCAGTAACAGTATTATTGTAGCTGCTTATGTAATGGTATGTCCTCGCATTGCTATGGATGGACAATGACACTAGCTACAACTCTTTCAGAAAACTGTCTGCTTACTGTGTTTCTGCCTCTGTCTGGCCAGAAATGTGGTTAATATACTACCACACTGGTCTACCTTAAAGGTTTGAGGGGTTTACAGTTTCTGTGATTTAGGCGGGGCTGCGTGTTTAGACATGAACTCTTGGCAGTGTGCAGGTTTTTATTTTTTCCCTCTGAGGCTGTGGAAGGAATTTGTGAGTTCTCTGTGAGGCGGATGTGTCAGAGTTCACATAGACGACATCAGGAGTCGAGGGGCAAAAATCCTTACTCTGTAAAGCTCTTATATATTCACTGCTGCTTGCCTCGTCTCTTTACAACTGTGACAGTCATACTGCACATTTTACATTATACAGAAAGATCTATGATTAAATTAAGAACATGATGCAATCAAAGTAGAACCATGTCTTAAATATTAATGTTGGCAATTGTATTACTAAGAAAAATACTTATTGAAACTTGTATTTACACACAGCAAATATATAATCATAAACAAAGATCATAAATGATGAAGCAGTTGTTAGCATTATTAAATAAATTCCTGTCTCTTCCATCCTGATTGACAGGCTTTTTACTGCCCTCCCCCCACCCCTGATATTAATCTGCCCTACAGGGCCATGGCCGGATTAACCTGCTCACTGACCACCCACTCTCACACACAGACACACTTGTTAAAGAATATTCACCAAGTGAGATTTTGACAGAGGAATACAAGATTAGCCAATAAAAAACCCACCTGGTCCGATATTGTACTCAAATTAAAATAAAACCAAATTACCAAAAGTCAAGGGACACACAGCTTGAAAGATACCCATTGTGTCTAAAACAGCAGGAAGCACAGGAATATTACACAGTTAAATTTGCTTGTGGGTGTGTGTGTGTGTGTGTGTGTGTGTGTATTTCCAGATGAGGTGGTGCTGAAGTTTGAGGATAGACGGGTTCGAGCCAGAAATTTGCTGTATGATACCCTGCCTGTCATCATCCATGGGAACGGACCAACCAAGGTACTGACCTATCAAACCATACCAGCCAATGGCACGCTTAAACACAGCAGCCTGATAAATCTAACCACCAGAGTCACTGCAGCTGTCTAAATAATTCCATTACTTCAGTCAGCAGGTCTGTTCACACTGAAAACAATACGACACTTTGATTTTCCTGCATGTGCGTGATTCAAACTAGCAAAATATATGTGAAAAGGCATTCTCAACATCATCATCATCCGGCAGCTGAATCAGGCACTTCTCAGTTTGAGGACTACAAACTCCAGAGAGGAAATAATGAAGGCTTTTAAAGCACAAACAGACTGTCAGTGCGCTTCTGGCCTCTCTGTAAAATATGTTCCAATAACAAGTAAACTCAGCGTTATTACTGTTGTCCTGTGAAAACTTCCAGCAACTGAAATCAGATTGCATATTCTTTCTGCTACATGTCCTGTGCTTTTCTGAGGGAGACATTTTCATTCAGTTAATGTTGTTATGTTGAAATGTTGAAAATCAGTCATTCTCTTCCTTAATTAATATTAGATTGAGATGTGATATTCTACAAGAACACACATTTGTTTTACAGCTCCAGATCAACTACCTGGGTAACTACATTCCCAACACATGGACATTTGAGAATGGATGTACACTGTGTCATGAGGAACTCCGCCCACTCACAGCTCTTAAGGTCTGTTCACAGGCTCTTGGCGATCACACAATTTAATTGTTCAGTCTAAATTAATATAAGCCCTTCCTCCTTGAACTGGAATATGATGCTTGTGTTTTTCCAACAGGAGAGTGAATACCCACTGGTGGTGATTGGTATCTTCATTCAGCAGCCCACCCCCTTTGTCACAGTGTTCTTTGAACGCCTACTGAAGCTCCAGTATCCCAAGAACCGGCTCAAACTGTTTATTTACAACCAGGTAACAGGAGGACATTTAATACATCATCTTTATCCTAAAATCCTTGGAGGCAAGTGTTAATTCATATGAAATCAAGCCTTTATAAAAAAATAGGTACATTTAATGAGACAGTCATAATGTAGTGTAGGAAACAGAAACACTGATTACAAATTAAGAAGACACCAAAATACTTTACAAGGCTGAAAATGAGCTGCACCAAAGAATAATGTTTTGGGTTTTTAGTTTGATTCACAACACAAACCAATAAAGGTTTAAAAAAAGGATGAATAGAAAAAGACAATGAAAAGAGAAGTTAATTAACATATTTAAGCAAATTTTTAATGGCTCCATTTTGCCACATAAAAACACTCAAGAGCTTGTCATGTCAAAAGCTCTTGTTATCTCGCCCAAAAAAAAAAAAACAGTTGACTGTCATCTATAGAAACAGCTACGGGGTGTACAAATATGCACCATAATAATGTGTTAAAAAATCCACCTCAGTAATGCAGATTTGGTGGTGCTCTATGTGTCTGTAGTAACTCAGACTCTATCTGTCCGTGCAGGAAACTCATCACGAGCGTCAGGTCAGCTCTTTCCTAAAGGATCATGGAAGCCTTTATCAGGATGTCAAGTTCATCGGGCCTGAAGAGGAGATGGATGGAGTTGCCTCCCGAAACCTGGGATTGTGAGTTCCACATAACCAGTGGTCGACTGGATGACGTGTCTTTGGGTTAAAATATACGTGGTGTCCTTAGAATACATGATTTAATGTTTAAGGTATTAACATCAGGCCATACGACACACTATTTCCCATACAAAAAACGAGCAGTCTGTAGTGTATTTTTTAGATACAGGGTACGTACAGGGTTGACTGTGCAAATCTTTTAGTATTGTTTGTTTCCTAAAGAAAAAAAAAATTTGAGATGCTAACAAGAAGCGGCCTGCCGCAATTCACTTTAAGTTCATTTTAAGAAGTCATTTAGTAATTGAACAACATCCCTGGAGGAGATCTTTTAATTGAAGTGAAACTGAAATATCTATATAAATGAGAATTACAGGACTAAGCAACAGGTAACAATGTGTTAAAAGAAAGGGAACAAATTCAACTCACACAGAAACTTGTTTTTATTGCTCGCCCACATCAATATTACACCAATCAAATTACAGCACTAACATCCACTGTGGTACCATCAATTCACACCCACTGGAGAACAAATAATTAAAATTCAAATTTCTTCTTTTTTGTAATTACAATTTTGATGAAAATAGGTAAACTAATGAAAACAAAATAATAGATTTTAATTTCAGTTAAAAAATGGTTTGCATTATTAAAATAGCAGCTTTGTACACACAGCAGTGTGACTTCATTTTCAGACCAGTGGTAACCACATCTTCTTCTGTTCACTGAACTGTTTATGAGAATGTGCCAGTGTTGCTCTTTAGCTTCACACAACTGATCTTTCAATGTCTTTGCTTCCTTTCAGTGACATGTGCCGGAAGGACAAGGACTGTGAATATTTCTTCAGCTTGGACATTGAAGTGGTCTTAAAGAACGAGAACACACTCAAAATTCTCATTGAACAAAACCTGCAAGTATTTTTATCTTTTGCTAGCTGATATCTTCGAACTACGAACCGTACATAGAACATCTCTTCATTTCTGTTACACTCATTTATTTGCATTACGTTACAGGTTACGGTTTAACTGACAGCCGGATGGAGAAATATAATAACATTCCTTTGATTGTTTCTCAGCCCTATAGTGGCACCCATGATAACTCGAGCTGGTCGACTGTGGAGCAACTTCTGGGGAGCCCTCAGTGTGGACGGCTACTACGCCAGGTCTGAGGACTATGTGGACATAGTTCAAGGACGCAGAGTGTAAGTTGCTTCAGAGGGACGTTTAGTGACAGAACACTTTTATTGACAGACTAGACTGATGAACCGTGTTGTGTATGTAAGTATGTGTTTCAAATTAAAAGCCCAAAAGGAATGGGAGGCTTTTACTCTTTGAGGCACTGGAACACATTTAAGGTGAACATCTGTACAGGAAGTGTTAACTTTCACTGAACAATTGAAAAAAGGAAAGTAGAAGAAAATAATAATTAGAACAATAATTAGTGAATAAAAACACTATTTGTGTTTAAAACAGAAGAGTTAGAGCAGCAGAGTGTGAGTATGATCTGATATGATACTGATGCAAATATTGCTGTAGAAATGTATCAATCCTACTTATACTATACAGCAGGTGAAGACTGAGAAAGTGATGAAACAGCAAATAAAAACAGAAGATCTGAAAACAGAGAGGCGTCTTACGGGGGATATTAGGAACAAAGTCCTGTCTCTAATAAAGGCCTGGTTCTCTTTAACACTGTCTGTTCCTTACAGTAGATCCTAGCGTTGGTATGTAAATTGTCTAAGACTGTCTTGTTTCTTAGGGGTGTGTGGAATGTCCCATATGTGTCCAGTGTGTACCTGGTGAAGGCGGACCTCCTTCGATCGGAACTCACAGAATACGAGCTCTTTAACTCGCACATCTTAGACCCTGACATGGCATACTGCCACAACATCCGCAGCAAGGTCAGTAAGAGAAGAAAGAGGGATTCCACGTTGGAATGGACTTGCATTAGTATGAGTATATGTATGTACTGCATAGAAACGATGATAAAATAACTACAGCATGTAAAGGATAGTTTCAGTTAGTTTTGACTTTGATTTTATTTGCTCCCTGTGGTTCTTTGTGTCATAAGTGTCTATTTTGTGTAAGCTCTGATGAAAATATATTTATAACTGTAAATAAGATTTTGTCTATAATATCTGACCTGTTGTGAATCTTTCACTCAGGGAATCTTCATGTATGTGACCAACATGCACACATTCGGCCGCATCCTGTCGACAGAAAACTATCAGACCGGCCATCTTCATAATGATCTGTGGCAGATCTTTGAAAACCCAGTGGTGAGACTGAAAAAATGAACTGTGCACGGTTAACATTACTCGCTGTTGTAGCAGGGTCAGTGAGTGGTGCAGGCTTCCTGCCTTGTGGTGATTGTCATTGTCATTGGAAATATGCTGGGGGAGGTGTGTATCAGACCTTCTGAAATGATCCTAAGCTTTGACTTGAAGAGTCAGAGGGAAAAGTAGGACTCAGGAGCTCTGTATACTGGGATTTTTAGTGGCTGCTATAAATCAAGGACTACAATTATGTCTACCCACAATTCCCTCTCTCAAGCACTGGATCAGCCAATAGCCTGCCTCTAAAGGTTACATGTCAGAACTACATCAATCATCCCAGCTTTGTACGCACCATGTCATGATTAAGATTACCCATCATGCATTGTGTCAACAATATAAATGCTTCAATATAGTGATGCATGCAAGAAGAAAGCTTGAATAGAATATTTCCCTTACAGTTATGCTGACAATATCAGATTAGCCATTTGGCGTAATAGCCATATACATAATGTTTGTATGTTAACCACACACACGTTTAAATGTTCAGTGCAAAGTATTTCCTTTAATTGGTTTCTTATTTATTGTTGCTCTTTCACACTCACTAATATTCTTGTATTTTACAACCCAGCAGTAGCAGCAGGACTGGTCACAGTTGTGGTGGTAGTAAAAGCAGTGGTACTGCTAATAGCAGTGTTATAGTGATAGCATTGTAAACATTTGCTGTATGGTGTGTGTTTCTTTCAGGATTGGCAGGACCGCTATATTCATGAGAACTACACTTACATCATGAAAGACAAACTGATAGAAACTGTGAGTTGACCTACAGACAGATGTCATGAGTTGTTTGCATTGTAATGGAGTAAAATGTGGACTAATGTTTTTGAATTGTAAGAAGTGAACTAATTTCAACTTGTGTGTTTCTTATAAATGTTGTCACTGCAGTAGACAGCAGAGTACAGACTAAAAAGTCACTTGTTAAGACTTTATTTTAGAGATTAAGATTATTAATAGAAAGAACAATCCTGACGGTGGATTTGAATAAATGTGTGATTGTATGGAATATTTTATTTCAGTGGTTTAATTGTCTTCTGTCCCCCAGCCTTGTCCTGATGTGTACTGGTTCCCATTGTTCTCTGATGTTGCTAGTAACCATATTGTTGAAGAAATGGAGCACTATGGGAAGTGGTCAGGAGGAGGCAATGTGGTATGTTATCATATGGGTTTGTAATTTTTCCATCTTGTGATTTGCAATAAACATTTCTCCTCATCTGTACTCATTTTAGAATTCAGTATTCATCAGTATCTGTCATAATGATTTGCTGTTGGGTATTTGGCCAGCAGTACCTGGCAAAATTCACAAACTAAGTTAACTAAGTTTTGTCCCTGTTGAGTTGTAGTTTTTTTTTTTCTAAACTGATTTATTATCTTGTTTGTCAGGACAACAGAATCCAAGGTGGCTATGAGAACGTTCCCACAGTCGATATCCACATGAATCAGATCAACTTTGAAAAGGAGTGGCACAAAATGTTACTGGAGTACATAGCACCGATAACAGAGAAAATGTATCCGGGTTACTACACCAAGGTAAGAACCATGAAGTCCAACATTGGTACACATTCTTATGAGATGAAAACCAGTCTGTGTTGAGATGAAATTCAAATAATCTGCTCCCCTTGGTTGAACATGATTAAGAAATGATTGATGTTTGACTGTCCTCATTTATCCTACTTTGTCTCCAGCTTTGTTGCAGAGTGGACATTGCTGTAGTGAGTAGCTGTCAGTCCAATAGAGTAGCAAAGTGGGAGGGCTTTTTTTGGGTACTTGGGTATAAAAGAGCAACATCCTTCTAACACACAAGACATCTGATAAATAAGATGTCCATAACATAAACTTAAAGTGTTATAAATGACCCAGGACACTTCCATCATTCTATTCTCAGACTGCTGAAGAGCCAAGAAAGATAGTTAAATGTTGAGTCTCATTCCCAGGTGGTCAAATATCTATGCTGAGACTCAACAATCAGCTGTCTCCAAGCCACCAACCTAAAGAGTCTTTATATCTTTCTCAGCTCTGATTGGTTGTTTTTGTTCAGCCCTGGTGGAGTCCTATAAATACCATTAGGACCACTAGGAGGAGCCAGAGGAACCTGATTTTTTTTTTTTACAGATCATCTGTCTCGTGTACTACTGTCAGAACAATGAACAGTTCAGCAGTAATGACAAAAGTTGTTTTTATAAAAGTTACCTACTGCAGCTTTATTGTTATAATTAAGATACTGTAAGCTGTGGCCGTACCACACCACCACTATGCTGCTCCATAAGGTCAAACGGGGATAACTGTCCTTGGATTATCTGTTGATGAATGTTTGGACTTTGTGGACCTATGTCTGTTAAGCCATGGTGGCGATCACTGCTAATGCACACTAACCCACGTCTTCTTTGGGGTGGTGTGTCAGAAATTGTGTGTCCCAAGGAATTGTGTTGAAAGGAGTAAATGCTCTTTCCATAAATTCTCAAATAAAAGGTTCAAAGTTGAGCAAGTCTTACATGATAAACCATGGACAACACAAAGTCCAGTTGCAGATAAAGGGTTTATAAAAACTTTGAGGAGGGGTGGAATTAATAGCTCACGTGGTAAATTCAGCATAATTACTAATTACATCCAGTCGGCTCTTGATTGCTAAACTATTGTCAACCATACTGAACACTTAATGATGTTTCAAATTAAAACCCTAAAGCAAAAGGAAAGGGAGGAATTATGCCCTTTGTGGCACTTGAAACATCTGTGTAGAAAGTTTTATGTCATTGACAGTAGCTTAACAACGGTCAAGAAAATGGCAAAGTGAAAGTGACTGGAAACAGTGTATCTGTTGAGAAAGAGGTGAGAAATATACATCATACTGAATGTATCAAGACAACAGGTAAACATGGAGGAGGTGCTGAGTTCAACAGCAAATGAAACAGGAGCAGACTAGTTATGATGTTATGACTTACAGAGCAGGGGGAATTAGAAATAAAGGCTGTCTCTAATGTAAGCCTGTGTCAAGCCGTGGCCTGCTGGAATGGAGACAGATTCCAGTGACTGAAGACAGTGGGTCACTGTGGGTGAGAAAATGTTGGTAAGAGAACATTTACGAACCTGTTTGAAAGACGTGAGGAAGAGGGGGACACATTTTGTTAAGAGGAAAAACATTTGATTGACGTATAAATAGCTAATGATACTTGGTGTTAAATAGGGCTGTGTTGGCAAGAATCTGGCAATACGATACATATCATGGTACAGTCGATATATTGATATACTGTAAGCAAGGCGATATATTACGATTTGTAAAAAAAATAACAAATTTTAGGAAAATCCCCTTTTCATCTTTGAGTTCATTTTACAGAAACCACGAGGACAAAAATATCAAATTATGTTATTTGATAGCCTACTTTTTTCAGGTAATATTCATTAAATAAACAGTTTGATAGTAATTTCCATCTTTGCTAAGCTAGAGTTTTGTGCCAAAGGAATTAAAGGCCTGTTCCAAATAAAGGCAGGTTAAGTTCAAGTTTTACGCTAATCATTTATCAAGTAAATAAATGTGCGGAACAAAGACTGTTTAGTTTAAAGACTGTTAACAGACGATGCATTATATAAATGACTTTAATGGACTAACTGAATAATGTATAATTTGATGTGAAGTCTAATTGAAAATAACCATAACCATCAGTTGCAGCCGCCTCGTTGGTTCTTGTGCTGCTGCTGCTTCCTGTGTACTCTGCTGATCAACATGTCTTCTCTCATCAGTGTGCCAGTCCCTTGAACTTTGTGGTGAGGTACAAACCCGACGAGCAGCCCCTGCTCGCCCCTCACCATGACGCCTCCACATTCACTATTAACATAGCTCTCAACAGCAAAGGCATTGACTACCAGGTAAATGAGGAGGAGCAGCCAGGTAGTAGAAGCTACAGGACATGACGATGCGGGTGATCTTCACCTTTCTAGCGTCTCTGCTACTCTGTTCCAACTCTGGAAGTGAATGCTGGACCGGGGAAACAAGCTGAGGCTTTTCTTTATTGAGCAGAAGGTTGCGAGGGCCGTACACACACTCTGTGTAGCAGTTTCTGTGCGAATGCTTGCATGACTCCTTTCTGTCTGTGTGTTTGCAGGCTCAGTTTGACTTGGCCTTTGTAGTTAGATATAAGCCAGATGAGCAGCCCTCTTTGAGACCACACCATGACGCCTCCACATTCACTATAAACATTGCACTCAATCAAGTGGGCCTTGATTACCAGGTGAGTGTGTTTGGACGTCTGACATTTCCAACAGGTAGCTCATGGTTACTACATGGAAGAACAGTTGGTATAGTAAGCACGAAAACGTATTTACCCAACATCCCATTCCCCACGCAGCTGTTCATATTAAACAACACCTGGCAACCTGAGCTGGTTATGTGCAGTGGTGTAACAATCTGTCAATCTGGACTGACGTATCGACTCAACGATCAAAGATAAAATATCGTCGATGTAAAGTGAAAGATCCACATCAATCATCATCTTTACGATACACCTTTAATTTGAAAGTCTCACTCAGTCTCAGTCTATGTCACCGTTTGCGTCCGAGCACCTCCTTCCTAAACATTCCATCAGTGCAAAGACGATGAGGATGTTTACTCCCCTCTGTGGAATAGATAGAAAGGATGGGTTGACTGACAAAAGTACTACGTATACAACACTGTCACGGGATAAAACACTAAGGAAACACAACCATTTCATATATGCAAATTAAATTAAATGTAATTGTGGGCGTATGATATCGTCTCACATTGATCGCAACCCCCGAATCAGATGGAAATCATATTGTGGCAGACTTTCTGATATCAGCACATATCATATCGTTGTCCAAAGAATGAAAAAAACATATTGTGATGAAGCTGTGCATCAGTTAGTATAAACACAGGAAGCTTTGTCCATAAACTTAGAAATTAAGCATCAGTTCTTGAAGAACTACAGGGGGCGACTGTAGCTCAGGAGGTTGGCGGTTTGATCCCTGGCCCCTCTCGCTGCACGTTGAAGTGTGCTTGAGCAAGATACTGAACCCAACAGCTCCTCATGTATGAATGGATTGGTGTCTGATTGTGGGTATGAATATGGGTGAATGTGGCATGTAGTGTGAAAGCGCTTTGAGACTAGAAAGGTGTTATACAGGTACAGTCCATGTACAATATTATAGAAATATGGTGAATTTGATTTTAAGGTGGGGGTAAAATCTGTTTATGGTTGAAAATACCAACTTTCACATGAACACAGAGGAGGTTTGACAGAGCATGAAATCAGAACCATATCATTGAACATGGAATGCCATCATATTTCTGGCATGTACATCCACACCCTGGTGTTTCAAACTTTTCATTTGTGTCATCTGTGTTTGTGAGTCTTTCTTCTTTGCATGACTCATAAAGCTGAAACTAGGACCCTTGTTTTGTTTGAATTGTTGCATCCATGTTGTTTCCCTGCATCTCCAATGAACTAAACAATTAGTCCAGTCTTATTATCTGCTAAATACAGTTTCTATCATTTGTGAAACTTAAGATTAAACCTAGCAGTTCTTAAGATGTACATTTTTGAAGTAATATATAAATGTATATACATGTAATATGTGATCGTGGATAATTCTTCTAATGACAACCCCAGTGGTTTTACTTGTTATAGGGCATTACCCAATCACAGATATTCTACATTCTCAAATAAAAGCCAGTATTACTGTCCAGCATGAAACATAAATGCAGATTAAAGTCAGTATAATGTCCATTTCCAAAGTGGAAATTAGCCACTATACACAGCCTTTTCTCAATAAAAGCGAGGGATGCACAATATGGATTTTTTTTTCAGCTGACACGATAGCATAGAATTTTTGTATTTTAAAATAACCTGTAGCTTTTACATACTTGCTATCGAGAAAGGCTTAGATGTAGTGAGCTAAGATGAATGCTATGATGTTACATATCTCTGACATCACTGTTAACACAAACAATTCTGACCCTTCAAATGTTTGTTTTTCTAGTACACCAAAAAACCTCAGACATACTTTCATAGAACATAAAGCCTATCAATCATTTGCATGAGAATAAAAAAAATGATCATGGACTAATTTAATTATCCCAATATTTCTCCAAATTTAGTTCCAAGAACTCGTCCCCAAAGCGTGCAGTAGAGCGGAGGAAACAAAAGCATTCTGTTAAGCTCCTGCAGTGGAAGTTTTGTATTAAGTCAGCTTCCCCTTGACACTAATCTAACCACAAGTTCAACTCAAACTCAATTTAAAAACAGGGATGATTTTAACATGTCCTTTCTGTCAGATGATAACGTGTGCTGTGTTGTCACTGCAGGGTGGTGGATGCAGGTTCCTCCGCTACGACTGCTCCATTGAGGCTCCTCGCAAAGGCTGGGCCCTCATGCACCCGGGCCGCCTCACCCACTACCACGAAGGCCTGCCGACCACCGCCGGTGTCCGGTACATCGCAGTGTCCTTTGTGGACCCCTGAACACCCCAAAGACGGCACACATCACCGGCTTGTCCAGACCAAACACGACACACACTGGCCACGTCTTTCTGCACCACAGCTGCTCTTTATTCCTCCGTTCCTTGTTTAAAGTTCAAAATGATATTGCTTCTGTCTCATTTAAAGGATTATACGCAGCTTGTGACTTTGATCAAACTAGGATACATAAGCATGCAATTTGTGCCAGTGCTGGAAAATGAGGGAATTATTTCTCCAGTATCCAAGTTGAAAAGGCGGTTTTAACACTTAGCCAGTGCAAAATTAATGCGACACAAATAAACAGCGGCCACTGATATCAGTGAATCTGGAATAACTCGAGGACTAAATGGACTACTGACCTAACATGAAGTTGGGACACTGTTACCTGTGGGCAAAGACTCCCCTCAGAGGGGCTGTGGGTGGACTGCGTGATCAGTTCAACTACTGCAGTCATCACCACAAGCAGACGGTGGTGATCAATCTGAAGGCTCCGGTTTGGTCTGGGGTGTGTGGTGATCAATAATCCAGTCGGTCCTGTTGTGCCTTGAGCTGGACTTCTCTCAGGAAGTCACCACGAGTTCAGCTTAGATTTTATTTCAAAACAGTTTTTGAAAACCTTTATTGTTGAATATTACTTCACTAACACTATCTGTACATTTCTGTATCCAAAGCAGTTATTGTCTAACTCCATCTTGAACGCTCCAAAGACTGTTAACCCTCTTATTTATTTTTTGTACATTTTATTTGATAAAGCCCAACACTCCACTGATGTAGATCAGCTGAGTTTCTAAAAGTTGTCATTTGTTACAACTCACTGTGCTTTGAACACAACTCCAATAAAACAGTGAACCCAACAGAAGAGTGTCTGAACTGTAACTATAGTCTGTCTGCTGTACCTCAGTTACAGAAAAAGCCTTTAAAAGTTTCTATAAAGTAAAGCAGAAGTCAGGCTTTAGCACAGCACCACATTTAAGTTTAAATCTGATGTTGATTAGTTGTGCGAATTTCTAATGAAAAAGACACATAACCGTTGCTAATATTTTTAGAACATTTAATTGAAAAGGAGAATATACAACACATGGTTAAAATCTAAAAGCTCAACATGGAACAGACATTAAAACAGAGCTCAAGTCAAAATACTCCTCTATTCACAACTTCACAGCCAGTATCCATTTGGAATACATGCATGTTTAAGGGCACCTTGCTAAAAAAAGAAATATTAAACATTTGAAGTAGTAAAATAAGCAGACTTTTACAGAGTGGGTGAGGTGGGCAGATCACAAGCGGAAGCGGTCAGAGAAGTTTGGTGACTGTGGGACTGTGAGAGGAAGTTCACTCTTCTTCAGTGCGACAGGTTTGTAGTGTCTGATGGGCTGAGCCTTGTGAACCTGCAGAGGAGAACACAATCTGTTAGACTGCACTTCATCAGGATCAACTGCACAGTCTGATCAACTGATCACTTTAACAAGTCACACCAGTTAGACTAAATTATATAAAACCTGATTTTGCCTCCCAAGTTTTTTTCTTTTCCAATTTGAAGTCACTACTTGTTACCTACCCAGTTTGAACAACGCTGTTGTAAATACAAAGCTGAAAGAGAAACTAGCCATAAATAGTTTGAGCAGGAATGATTGTTAACAGGTCTCATGTTGCACAATAGTAATGTGTCCGCAGTTGGTACACATGCCTGTAGATGCATTTAATTTATCTGCCGTTGGTCACTCACATGGATCAGGTCCAGCCAAACGTGTGCATTTAAAAGCCATTTGGAATAACAGTGCCGTAGGTCGGATTCTGATGCTGCTGACAGTTAGTTGACCCTCACTTTCCAAATTAAAGAAGCTCACTACCATTTGGTGCCTTCAATACAATGTCTGTTTTTGCTGTAAGAAACAGCTGCATTACATGTTAGAGATGTAGCAACATATTCCCAGTGATACGCCACCAGAAGAAAAACGAGAAAGTTCAGTATTTTGAGAAAAGTGGCATCTGAACAGTCCTACAATATGTCATTTTAAACTGAATGATACGCAATGTAGTCTTGTGGACAGTAAAAAGTATTTTTGGTGGGTAAATTCTCAGTTAACTGTTATTCATAATTTTGGATCTTTCAGGGGACAAACATGCTTATGGCGATTAAAAGTTCCTGCAGACTCACAGCACAGACAAGAGGCCGACAGTAGGGCTGGGTATTGTTAAGAACCTCACGATTCGATATTGATTTAAATGCTTCACTATCGATTCAGTGCCGACTTAAACGAAAAAACTGCTGTCTTTACCTCTGTGTACAGCTTCGGGATGGCAACTTCCACCATGTGTTTGTGTGTTGGTATGGCGTATCGTGGTTCGAGTGTGTATACCATGTTCTTAAAACCCCCGTTTTCCAAGACACTGTACGGTCGTAGGTCTTTACATATGAAGACGGCCATAGACTCCGTTATCTTCTGTGCGCGGGCAGAGTTTGGCGGCAGTTTGTAAAGGAAGGATCTGTCCAGTTGCATCTGTTTTGAATCCACAGGTTTAGCCGCGGGTTGCTGCAGAGCATCTGCATGGTGTCGGCTTAAGTGGTTGGCGCAAATGTGTTGTGTTATTGCAGTATTTGAGTACTGCCTGGCACAGCTTACACACTACCTTACTTTGGTCTATTTCCTGTGTTCCGGGTTTACACCGGAACCTAAAATGACTCCGAATGTCTGCTTTTAAAGTTGAAGGCGCTGGTTCAACACTGCTGCTACCTGCTTCGGATGCCATGTTGTAGTGGTGTGGTCGAGTGCGTACAACGCAAATCACACAAAAGGTGTGGCTATCATGCCAGTCACTGTACACTGATCAGTGTCCCATCACCCCTCACACAGAGGACTCCAGGACACTGGTCATTTATGGAAAATGATGATTATGATGTTAGCAAACCCTATAGGAGTTTTGAGGAGGTGGTGATAAAACAGTTTAAAGCCCTGTACTATAACACTACCATAAAATGCATTCTGCTGTAAACATGTGCCTGAATTTCCTATAGAATAGAATGCATTCATTTTATTTATTTTGATATATTGGCAGCCACACACTGTAAATATAAGCAATTGAAAACCCCACATTGGTTGACCACTAAACACAACCCTACTAGTGGTAGTCAGTGTTCTGCAGTCACCTGTTCTTGCCGCAGCCTGGCAATCTCATCTTTCTCCCTCTGCTCCTCCTCCCGTCTCTGCTCCTCCTCCATTAACGACCTGAGCGACTCCTTCTCGCTGGCCAGCCGCTCGTACTCCTGCCGCTCGCGGGCCCGCCGCTCAGTCGACAGCTCAAAGGCCTCCACAACTGTGGAAGAGCGAATGCCTTCTAAAAGAGTACCATGACAGATGGTGGAAACAGGAACAGCGAGTTACAACACTGAACAATGCCTCAGCCCCGGAGCAGGAAGCTGACGCACTCTTCAGGAGCTTTGAATATATCAGACAGTATTCAATACTCAACACTGCATTTCATCACGTGACTACATTATAACCAGAGCTGGGACATACAGCCACAGTCACTATCAGAAGAATATTTGCACTGTATCGGATTTCTTTACATAAACAGCTGAAATCCTAGTTTATTGTCTCAAAAGAGGACAGAAACAGAGTGTTGTTAATGCAATGTTATCATATCTTCATAGAGTAGTTCAAAATGAAATACTGCCCAGCCCCAGTTATAAATGTGACCAACATGATCTGATGATTTTAGCTCATAGATTGAACAGGCGTTCCAATTATTTTGTCCACCCATTTATATTAGTGAGAGTAGGCTAAATAACACAGACACCTCTGTATTACACAATATAGAACAGATACATAAGCAGGATTTTTGCACTATAAGTCAGTTGATTGTCACCCACGTGTTTTATGTAAGAGGCAACAAACTGCAGGACTGGGACTGAATAAGTCTAAGGTTTGTCAATAGATTTTTCTAGAAAAAATAAATACATTTTAAGTGCACAATTAATGGAAATATGATAAACATAAATATCCTGATTGAGGCCTCAATGGGGCAACAATTCTGCTGTGTTAGGATCAGCAGGGAGATCCCCACAGTGCTCCAACTGCCTAAAAAGCATCAGTGTTGGGTCAGTGTTTTGTGGTGCAGCTCTGGATGGCAGTAGTCTTACCCACTGCAGGCCGGCTCTCCTTTTTGGGCTGGAAAGGCTCTTTGTGTGTGACTGTGTTGGGCCTGGCTTTGAATATTGCCGCTTCCTCCTGTTGCTTCTGCTCTTCTTTCACCTACAAGGGACAGAGGTTGGGTTTGAATTCCAAGGCAAAGATTGTTGAGAAAAAAACAAAAAACACAAAACAATCGTACCATCTGTTCCCAGCGGGTGTTCCTCATAGCTCCCCGTTCATCTAAGAGCAGTCTGAAGGGTTCTGGCTTTGTGAGTTCTAGCTTTTTCTTCTCGGGGAGTAGCACAGTGTCGAAGTCTGGCAGCGGTTGGGCCTTGAACTGTGGTACCTGAAAGGAAACATGACAAGTTGATTTAACAGCTGTGTCTATGCTGGAGGTCAGAGGACACGGGTTCAAAAGGTGCGACTACCTCTTCATTTCGCTTCTCCTCCAGCCTCTTCTCTTTCAGAGCCCTCCGCTCTCGTTCCCTCTCCTCAAAGGAGAAAGGACAAACCTCCACGTGGTGGTTCTCTGGTAGGCGGGGTTGGAAGGGGAGGCCGAAGTGGGGCACTGGGGGGGCCTTGATTGGTGAGGGCTGTTTTACCTGACAAAGAGAAAGGGCCCACCAGGCTCAAGGTTATTTATATATAGGGATGGAGGGGTTGGGTCAATGTGTCTGTTAAAAAGGTCAGAAATGTTAAACACACACACACACACACACACTTTGCATTTAGTGCACTACGTGGCCACCATATTTTCTCCTTTGTACTCTGAAGGGGACAGCGAAGCGACTTGCGGTCCTCAACTACACCGCTAGATGCCACTAAATCCTACACAGTGGACCTTTAAGTGGGTGAGGGGATCAGTGTGTCCTTACTTCCTGGACCTTTGGCTCCATATGGACCCTCTTCTTCAGGGCAAAAGCTGGAGATTCTGGCACAGTTGGAGGCAAAACCTTCTTCTCTGGCAATCCCTGTTGACAGGAAGTCCTTTTTTTAAAACTACATTCATATGGAAATAACCTGAAGCAGCTTCATATTGTCTCAACACAGTAAAAACCAACACCTTGTATTTGACACTGAACTCACCACTACTCCCTCCAGGATCTTTTTGGGTAGAGGATGGGATTTAAAGGTGTGATGCTTCTCTTCACCTTCCTGAGGCTTGGTGGCCTGTCTCTCCTGGAGTCTTTTCTCAATCTGCAGCTCAAAGCCTTCAGGTACAGTGGGCTCCTTCACAGCAGGCTTCTTTAGGCCCTCTACGCTCTCCAAGATTTTCCGGTTCAGCTCCAGGGCCTTGAATTTAAACCTGTGATTAAACAGGTTAAACAGTTAATGGCCCTTATATGATACTAGGGGATGTATTCTGGCAGGGGGACAAATGCACTAGTGACCAATCCAGTGTCACAAGTTTGTTAAATGTTAGTAGACGGTAAATCAGGGATTTATGGTAAACAACATTTTCATAACATCTGCCCACTCAATAGGGAGGACAAATTCCAGTTATATAACAAAGGAACATTTCCAAATTCACCCTTGTGCATACTTTGTGAATCGTAAGACCAGAAAGTTGATTGACAGTCGGTTTAAAAAGGCCCTACAAGGAACTCTCATTTTGTGTTGATTCTGAACACTACTGCTTTTGTCCATTGATTTGAATGGGAAGCCGCCCCAGTGGCAGTGATTAATAGCTACATAGAAATAGCTAATCCTCTCGCTATTGGTCTTGTTTGTTTATGCATGTCATATGGAGGCATCAGTATTAAATAGATCATTTCATAACTAGTTAAAACCTGTTTGTAGTAAGTTTAATAAAGTTATAGTAAGCTGGTGACAAGTGACAGGTAAAGTAAAAAGGTTCTTACTTGTGAAGTTTGTCCACTTCTTCAGCCTCCAGGTCAGCACTGCTTTTAACAGTGGGTGGTCGGCTCCTCTTGAGGGTCATCAGGTGTGGGGTGTGAGGCTGGGTGAGCTTCAGGTGGTCACCCTTCACTGGGGATGGCCCTGACAAACACAATTATAAGCCATGTGATTCAGTTACATGCTTAAAGAAAAATGACAGTGAACACTGTAAACAGTGATGCATACCTCTCTCCTGACACTTGCGACTGCGCAGATGATAGCGGTCAGGGGTTCGTTTCTCAAACTGCTCTATCTGCTGAGCCATGGGCACGTAGCTAGATTGTTCCTCCACTTTTCTCTTGTTGCCTGTCGACAGGTTGAAGGGTTTGGGTACTGTCGCACCTTTCATAGCCTTTGCCTTAAAGAAAAAAAGTAAAGTTAGGTTAAATTACAAAGTGTGTTTTAATATTTACATTTATGTTAACTGGTTTTGCCATCACCTTTATGAAATTATAAAAAGGTCCAGTGTGTAACATTTAGGAGGACCCATTGGCAGAAATGGAACACAATATTCATAGGTATGTTTTAAGTACTGTATAATGCTCACCTGGAAATAAGAATCATTGAGTTTTAATAGTCAACACACTAGATCTTTAATAACTAACATTAATTTTGGAGTTTGTGTTTGTGTCTGTGTTACTGGTGGTTTTTAGATTCCAGCTGCTTGTTGTCAGGGTTTCCACAGTCAAAATCTTAATACGTAATACTTTTATAAAACCACTATAAATGCAAGTTAAGTATGATGGAAAAAGTTTGTATTTGTTCCATGTTCTGTTTGTAGTTATTACATTGATTCACTGACATTTCTAACACTTTCTAGGTGACTATTGTGGTCTTGGTTTATCGTTTGAGCTCCTCAGGCTGCAGTATATACACACACTTAAAGATTGCATACACAAAGTACTCACTGGTGAGGAGGGTCTGCGGAGCCGAGACATAAAGTCCACTTCCTTGTGGGCTGTGTTGGTTGAAGTGGTCGCTTTAACGCGGTTGTTCGTGTTAAAGTGGAATTCTTTAGGCACAGTTGCTGATAGGACCATCTTCTTCAGTGGTGGATCTGAAATAACAGCGAGTTAGATTGTCTTTTGAGCAGTAAAGGCAACCTAAATCCCAACTTTTAGATCTTTTAAATGGTGACAGAACTTGTTAGCCAGCACAAGTACATTTTCGAATGGTTGGAGCTGTACATCAAGTTATATCTTATAATATCTACTCACCGCCAGCCAGAGCAGCTTTGTAGCTGGCCTCGTTCTTCTTGCGATGCAGAGCCACTTCTTTCTGGAGGTTCCTGATGCGCTCCAGCTCCTGTTCTTCAGTGCTACTGGGCCTGTTTGGATACAATCAGCTTTAGCCTGTTTTTCTATCTCATTGTAAATATCATATTGAGGTCATTTAATGCCCCACTTTCATACTGGGGTTTAGAAACTTTGTTCATGAGTAATCTGCTTTTTTAAATGCTTCTGCCACCCCCCACCCCAGTTCCAGAAGGGTGATGTGGAGAAACACTGGTTTCACTAGTAACTGTAGACTCACTCTGTAGTTGCAGTAGTGGAAGCTGATGTACGGGTCTTGGGCACAGTCCTGGAATTGAGCTGCCCATTCTTGCGGACAACGCTGCTGCGTCTTTGGCTTGGTCGGGCAACAGGACTCCTAGAATAAACAGCGTTAGGTGAAAACTAAATGGAACCTGTGTGTTGGTACTTGACATATACAGTGGCTTTTTAGGTCTAGGGGACTTGCTGCTGTAAAGGGCAGGAGAACATATTAAAGATAATGACAGGAAAGCACACTTACTTTCTGTGTTTCTTTGATGGTGGTGCAGGTGGACCGCTGGTTAACCCTTTACGCTTCGAAACCCTAAAAAAGAATAAGTCAAGAGAAAATGATAATCAGATTGAAATTTGAGCAAAATTGCACTACACCATAGAGATGGTGAGGGTATAAGTCAATACCAAGTGTGAACCTATTGTGACGTCACCCATTGGTTTGTGGAGTGCCGTTTTGCCAGTTAGACGGAGCCAGCAGACAGGATGTACTACGAGTTGATCTACGCTCAAAATGAACATCATAATGTATTCAAGATGTGAAACTAGATATTGAGACCATAAACTCATCAGGAAACTTCACTGAGCTCATAAATGAAGTGTTCATTCAAGTGCTCATTCTCCATTAGACTGAATGGGGTCAGTGTGTTATTGCAGCCAATGGAGCTCCCCCTGCTGGCCTTTACGTAGAATGCAGGTTTTAAGACACTAATGCATTGTGCTCACTTTAAGACAGACAATACTTGATCCTGATTTCCCATCATGCAACTCAATAGCAACTTATGTTAAACCCTCCTCAAACTCCTCTCCCTCAGTTTTCTGTTGGAAAGGCTTCAACTCTGATAACCCTAAGCCACAGACACAGGTAATGAAATTATAATCCAATACACTGACTCATCACAGTCGACTAACGTACTGTTCAGCGTGTGGGACACCAACTTGTTATTGTTACGTTAAATGACTTGCCTACAGACATTCGGCATTCACATCAGCTATAGTAGCAGGAGAATACTGCTGTCTGGAGCTTGTGTGCTGACTCTGGGAAACGTTCTGCCTTGCAATCTCTTCCTGTGCACTTTGTAAGTAGGGGTGGGCGATATGGGCAAAAAAAATAATATCAATATTTTTGGGATTTTGGCGATAACGATAATCAGTCGATATCCTTTAAAATGTGATTAGAATTGTCTGAGCTGGACTTGTGTCCACCAAACGCATTTACAGCGCTGAGAGAGAACAGCGCTGAACAGATTTCAACTTGAAGCGCTCTGAGCGCTGCGCTAAAAAAAACCTGTCTCCACTGACATCTTTTTACCGCTGAAGGCGCTTAGCTCTCTGAAGCCCATAGGACCCACATCTCAGCACTAAATCATCTGAAGTACCGGTAGCTTCAGGGACTGGAGGTGCTTGCATTTTCTCTCTACCATCGCAACGCGCTGCTAAACTGTTGCAAAGAGGATGCTAGCAAGAGGTCGCGTGATCACGGCATGTTATCACGTAGGCCCACTAATCGTGTGACTGATTCCTGCCATGCTGTAGAGAGCGCTGCTGCACCTTCATTGATTTTGTTGAAGTAATTTAAATACTCGATAATGGAAATTTGCACATCGTCAAAACAACAATGACGATATTATCGCAAACGATATATATCGCCCACCTCTATTTGTAAGATGGTGTAATACAGTCAGGTGCTTGGTTTGATGCAATAAATAACTCACAGTAAATTGCCAGAAACATTCAAGAACAAGATTGTGTAGCGTCATGAATCTGTACCAGTTTAATTTGATAGTGTTTGCCCCATTGTGGCACACTTGTACTACAGTGTGGAACTGTCTTAGACATAAGAGTAGTCGTAGCAAGGACTGTACCTGCATGGTTGGGCAGGGGGTTGATTAACGGATCTCCTCTTTGGCTGGGCACCAGTCTGAGGGGAACTTCCAGCACCCCATGATGTGACGATGTTTGGAGGTGGAGCTGTGGATGTGGTAGGACCTGGAATATTGATCAGTTCATCTGGGTTTATGATAGCCAAGTCATGAGTACTATTCACAGAATTACAAAATACAGACTAATCTAGGACCATGCAAGAGTTCAGCTTTCAGTAGTGTACACATTACATATTACACACATAAAATTCAATCTTTCCAAATAACATTTAACAGAATAAAGCTGTGACACAGGAAAGTACTACATGCAAGCCTGAAAATGTATTTCATTCACAAACCTTGGTGAACCAGTTTAACATGTCCATTCTGGCAGTACTGATTCACTGATGCCATTGTAACTAGGGGTGGGAAAAATAATCGATTCTTCAATGCATCGCGATTCTGTCAAGAACGATTCTGTCTCGATGCAGATAAGTTAATCAGAATTTTAAAAATTAAATTAGTTAAGAGTGCTGCAACATTCTGTTCCCTGCTGCAGAGCGTTACAGAAAACTCTCCTTTCTGCCTGCCGGTTCTCCGCCAACATGCATGCGCACCAAACACATGTGCGAGTTGTTTACATCCAAAGTTTAGTGGCGACAAACCTATACAGCCTACACAAGCTTCTTTAAAAGCTGCGATATGGCAGCATTTTGGGTTCTATGAGGTTGATGGACAAGGCACAATGTGTTCACATGCAAGCAGCATAAAAGTGTGTAGCATACAGGTTCTTTTGTCTCAGGGATATGCTACTTATTACCAATAACATGAGGATTTTGTGTTTGAAGTCTTATTCTTATAATTGACTAAGAGCAGCTTTTTCTGTAATGACATATTTCCATATAGTGTTAAAATGCAAGCTGCATTGTTCCTAAAGTCATATTTGTGACAAGAAAAGCTTTCTCTAATAAAATATAGAGAAGATAATTCATCTGTTGATTGCCTTTAATGAATATCACAAAAGTAGTAGGAAGTGATAAGCAAACTGAGTAGCAAACTCAGATATACATTTGCATCGATAATCGGTTTAGAATCGAATCGTTGACCTCTGAAACGTGATCGAGTCGTGAGGTGCCAAAGGATTCCCACCCCTAATTGTAACTGCTGTGAATCCAAGTTAACATCATTACTGTCTGCAGAAGGACCAAGCTACTTTTCAGAACCACTACAGGGCTGAGTAATTCTTGTGTCTTAAGGGATCATTTTGAGTGAATCCTTATGATTTTGTTAAAAGACAAAGAAAACTAACCAGAGTCCACATCTTTCTTGACTTGTGGGGTTACGATGGCTCTTGGCAGGTTGAGCGTATCACTCCTCATAAAGGGTTGGTCAGATCTTGAAGGTGTTTTAAGGTGACCACCTGCTTCCGTGGTTTGTTGTTCTGCATGTAAGAGACAAAGATCAGGAAGATGCAGAAACCTTTTGCAGATTTTTGATGGGTAATTTCACCTACATATACCCTTCATCTCCTGAACATCAGTTCATAGGTCAATGTAGGTCAATGCAGGTCTTATTTATACAGCCATTTACATATTGAATTATGCAATTACCGATGTCCACTTAGAAATGTAATAAAATGTTGGTAGGGCTTGGCCGATAGTTAAAATATTTTATCTTGATAAAATTTTTCATTTCAGTCGACATCCATAATTTGTAATTTTACCGTTTAAAAATAAAGACTAGGTAAAACGGTTGAATTTAACCATTTTATGCATCATGGCAATGGGAGCAAAAGCCGACATTAGCTTCACCAAAACGGCTTTTACTGCATAAACTTAACACTTGTATTATTTTAACCATCTGCACTAACTTACGTCCAATGTAACCAGATCAGAGCGGCCTTAATAACTGCCCAAGGAGCCAAAGGAGAGGAATGCAACTTTTCCTGTGGTTAATCTAATTAACGTTACCACATATGATGATGTTGAATTGTTAAAGGATGCTGCGGCCGAAACAGAGTCACCTACTGCTTGCTATAGTCCCGACAGTTCAACATGAGATAAATACCAGCCAGATTAAAATGAATGGAGACTTACCAAACCACTTATCGTCGTATTCGGCATTGTCCAGCTCTTTCAAGTCGACCACTTCAGAAGGGGCGTCAAATTCATAGCGTTCACAGTTATCACCAGAGTCTCTCTCGGCCATATTCTCAAACTGTTATCCGACACCTCACCTAACTAAACAAAAAACAGGACAAATCTTAAATTAAGAAATGCACTTGAAGGAAAGACTGCGTTAAGTCAACCGACCAGGCTAGCGAGTTAACGTTCTTTTAGCGATAACGTTAACGTTACATCAGAGAGAGGTGTTTCGAAAAGGACTGGCTGAATCAAGGTAAACAAACTGGAACAGAAGTGGAAAGCTATCCTGCAGTGGTAATGTAACGTTAAGTTACTGAATGTTGTTTGGGAGTTGTGTTTTCTTTCTATGAGCTGTAACGTTGCGGAGGGGAAACAGCTGGCTAGCTAACATTAGCTAGCGTTAACGTTAAAAACACTCTTCTTAAGCACACACTAGAGAGCACTATATTAATCAAACTATCAGCTATGTATTGTTACATTCATTATTCAGTTTAATACATTTAAACCCACAGGGGAAAAATACTTTTGTAACGTTTGTATTAAATAAGTAAGACGTGTTGAAAAGCTTACCGCAGCCGTGTGTTGTTCCTACAGCGACGGATATGAAACTGCAGTACAAACCGTTAACGTTTAAATTTCATCCTTTTTGAATCAGCCAATGGCTAACGTCGTGTACTTCAGCTTGACGCTTATTGGCTCAAACCAGTCAACTTCCTCTGACCTGACCACGTGATCAACACATATTTGTAAAATAATGTGGACATCTGTGCGCACAGATTGCCAACAGGAATACATACCTTTACCTTAACTCGGTATATGACGTTCAAAAACTCATTATTAGACAAAAACTTTTATTTTTATTTTATTAATAATAATATCATTCTAGTAAACCAATGAATTAGTGGTTATGGACTGGTGTTGATATACTGTACATTTCTTAACACATTCTGCATTTCTGTTACACCAAAGGAGTTTGCCACAGGTAAACATAAAAGGATAAGTTGAAATTAACATGCCAATGCCTCGAACAACGAAGTACAAGACAGAGACTTTTTTTGGATAAATTAAAATGTGCCTGATTGCTCTAGACAAAAAGTCATAGGACTTCACAGTTACAGTTAATCCTGAATGCATTTAGAGTTAAAGTCAGGGGATGACAAATTTGGTTACTTAATCTGGGATCCCTGAATGTCAATGAAAGATTTTGTGCAATTTTGTGTGATATATTTCACAAAATAGCAGAAAAACCTTGGCCTGCTGGTGGTGCTATAGGTTAAAGTCAGGATGCCTTTGTAGCCCATCACAATGAGCCTTGGGCCTTTACTTTTTTTGTATTGTTGCCATTGACATCACCTCAAAGACAATGTAATATGAAATGTAGTGTCCATAATGCAATAATAATGCAACACTATACCAGCCTTTTAAAGGAGCAGTGTGTAGGATTTAGTGGCATCTAGCAGTAAAGTTGCAGATTGCAACTAACTGAACATTGCTGGTGTCTGTAGTTGACGACCTGGGAATGAGAACGGGCTGTAAGAGAAACTACAGTGACCATTTGGTTTGGTCTGGTTCAACATATTAATACAGTCCCCATCCACTGTTTGACATCAGGTGCTGAAATAAAGGAGGAGTTTACCAGAGGTCACTTACTACTAATATTTAGGACATTGTCAGTCAGTTGAGTGCAACATCTTAGTGAAAAGCGTGTAACTTTCCATTAAGTAAAAATCTGGTAAACAACATTTTTGTAAACGCTTCTCCCCAGAATGCACTGTGTGTATCCTTGCGGTCTTACAAACATGTTGAAATAATTTCCTTCCTCATGAAACACTTGCAAAGCCGATTTTTCTTAAAAGCCTGAATTGTGCATTTTTTATTTGTATGTTTGCTTGCAGTCTTCTTTCCTGCTTTTGGTATTGCATTGCTGCATGGCATGTTACCACCATTAGATCAGTAGAACATTATAAACAGTGGCATGAACATGGATCATGTCCCTTATGTGCTTGCACTAGAACAATCAAAACAGAGTCCCACTCATAAAAACATTGCCCTATGATTAGGCATGCCTCGAGGAAACTGTATGAAACTACATGACTACATTCCAGATCTCTTCACAATCATTGTATCTACTATTATAATTCTTATTTAACTGTTGCTCAGAGGTATCTTTGTCTCATTCTGGGTGAACCATTGTACAACCTTTTGTTGTCATGTACAAAATATAATATAAAATACTTTTTTTTTTGCAAACCCTTATACCCATATAAAATGACATCTATTTCTAAAATCTAAAAGCATTAAAGACCATTCAAAGATACAGAGGAGTTCTCTCAGCCATCTAACTGTACCAAATCAAGCTTTTGTTTGTGGCTGGTGTGTATTCTTTCTTTTTCTATAATGTTTTTTTTTAAGTCAAATTAATTATGGCAGCATGTTGATGGTCCTAAATATGTAATACGATTTATATATATAAATAATAATATAGTTGCTTAGAATCTTCTATATACAATCTTAAATTTCAGTATTTCACACAGAAGTTCAACCACAATAATTTGTTTTAACTGTGTTCATGTGTTTATTCTTTAGGAACAGAGCGGCATCCAGCGGTATGAGGAAGAAGATGTAATACAACCATGTTTTATACATGTAGCAGAATTGTTTGTATGTAAACTGAGAGCGAGACATCACTGCTCACACCTTTATCTCGGGTAAAACAAAACTGGGCGATTTTTATATATGTAATATAGTGATTGGCTAAGTTACGAGTCACTCGTGGTTTCGCCGTCTCCCATTGGCTGGAAGTATACGCTTGTGGGCGGGCGCACTCTTCGTGGCAGTGTCGGGGGCGGGACTGTAAGGTCCGACAGGAAAACTAAAGAAAGGCGAGTATTTCTATTAAAACCGTGGAATTACAGTAAAGTTAATACTCATAATAGCTGCTTTGTTGCTTTGTGTGTCGGGGTAGCTGCTAGAATCAAGCAATATATTACGGTGTCCAAATTGTATGTGTCCAGCCGGACACGAGAAAACTAAGCGAAGTTAGCAAGCTAATAGTTAGCTTCCTTAGATGGAATGGAAACTGCTGCTAGCTAGAAGTTAGCTGATAGTCCACTAACGTTAATTCAGTGACAAACATAGACCAAATAAGAATATTAATATGTAATTATGGTAATATTAGGATGGCAAGTTATGTGTAACTTGAAGCAATTCACCGTAGGTTATGTTGACATAGCCATTCGCATTAGAGGTAAGCAGCAGTGAGGAAGTAACGTTAAGTTATAATGCAACTAAACTTGCCAACTTCTCCTCATACAGGCAGCTAAAGCTTTAACGTTCATTATATCTACAGTTAACCTTTGTCAACAGAGTGTAACGCTAACCCAGGTCACTCTCTAAAGCAGTGAATACTTCATATAGGTGGTCATAGAAAGGCTGGCTGTATATAATGCCATCTGAATGTGAATTAGTAGCAGATCCGTTTGTATTTGCGCTGACCGACATTTCTTCAGGCACAGCTTCAGTAAATGGTGAAGAAATATATTTCTTCACCATTTACCTGCTTCGGATTACAAATGGTTAACTTACAACAATAACCTAATTTTATCAGCACATTCATCAGTAGATCGCTTTTTTTAACCAACATATGTTAACATCAATGGTCTTGTATTTTTTAACCAAGATATAATGTTGATTTAGTTTCATTTATAGGAATAAGAATGATTCTGTCAGTTATCATGTTATGCTGTGATTTAATTGTTATGTTTTGTTAATTGAATTGACTATAGGCAACAACCTAAACTAAGCAGGATAATGTCTCATGTATACACTGTCAGTGGTCTCATCCCATATTCTATTGCTTTCAGCCTACATAGAAGTTGGATGATTTGTATTTTGTTGGTTGATCTTTTAATAGTGGAGGGAAAGAAATCAATGTTGGTCTGTCTACCACTTTGGTCAGGATCAGTAGTTCCCAAAACTTTTCTTTAAGGGAGCCCCTTTTCTATCATTGAGTAAACTGAAGGCTGACTAAGTGTGATATTTTATGGATATTTGATATTATATTAATTGCATAACAGTAACAGTAGAGCACAACAGATACACTGTACAATGAACCCAAACAGGGAACGCAATAACTGCAGGAAGTTGAGTGATTTGGACACATTTTAAGCAGATATATTTCCTGTGAATAAAGCATCAGAGATGAGTTTTACTGATATTTTTAGGAATTTTTAACAATCGTGTACTTAATGGGCTTTTTTTGGTCAAATTCAGTGATTTTCTTTGTTTAGTTTGGTTGATTTAACTGCCTACTTGTAATGCAGGACAAGGCTGTTTAGCAGAGAGTGAAGGCTCTATTAATATAGCTTATGTTCAGATCTTCAAAGTTTACGTCTTAAATCTTTATCATAGAAAATGTGTTATTTTCAACTAGGACGGTTGGTTGTGCATAGAACGTTTCATTCATTTCAACCTGTGCAATATATTTTAACACGGAATGCACCTTCTGCCGAGCCGAGTCAGATTTCAGTCATTTAGTGTTTCCCATTACAAAACTGCTCACACCACCACCTGTAGTACGTTGGGGCTCTTCACAAACAAAATAGTTTAACTCTGGTCAAACGTAAGTCATCACTGGGTCATTTACTTCACTGAACTTGCCTGTAAACATCTCTGATATTGTATCCTGCTAAATGTCTTTATTCTGTTCTTTCAGATGGCTGCAATCAGAAAGAAACTAGTGATAGTTGGTGATGGAGCCTGTGGCAAGACCTGTCTCCTCATAGTGTTCAGCAAAGACCAGTTCCCTGAGGTTTATGTGCCCACAGTGTTTGAAAACTATGTGGCAGATATTGAGGTGGATGGTAAACAGGTAAGCTCTTTTTACTGTAGTTCAGGGGTCTTCAACTGCATTTGTCCAAGGGCTAGAATGTTTCTAAGCAGACACTGTAGGGGCTAGACTTTCAAATACATTTAATGTTTTTGATTTATATATTTTATTATTCTATTATTGTTTAATATTTTAACTTTTTTTACAAAAATAGTTATTATTAATATTATATGTTTTTACCCTATACCAGTGTGAACAGAGATGGGAAATAATTTCCTGTCACTACTACTTTATAATAAATGTTAGCTTGTATTATTAAATGCTTTTAATGCAGTAATATTGAAATACTTTGATCAGTGGCCATTCTATGGGCCGGTTGGGAAGCTTTGGCTGAATGTGGCCCACGGGCTGGCAGTTGAAGACCCCCCGCTGTACAGCCTCCTACTGCGGCCTTTGAGCCCATGACATTTAATCCTGATCAGATATACTGATGTACTGCTGTATGTGTGTAGTTAACTAGTCCTGTTGACATGTCCTTTTACAGGTGGAGCTGGCTCTTTGGGACACAGCAGGACAGGAGGACTACGACCGACTCAGGCCCCTCTCCTATCCAGACACAGATGTCATCCTCATGTGTTTCTCCATTGACAGCCCTGACAGTTTGGGTAAGATTTCCTCTTGGGTTTTTTTTTTTTTTACACCAACTTTCTGTTTGCGTCCGCTCTGTGTTCAACATGTGCACCTTGTGTCCAATGCAGAGAACATTCCAGAGAAGTGGACTCCTGAGGTCAAGCACTTCTGTCCCAATGTGCCCATTATTCTCGTGGGAAACAAGAAAGACCTGCGAAATGATGAGCACACACGTCGAGAGTTAGCAAAGATGAAACAGGTCAGTGAGGCCCTTATTTAGATGCTTTGTAAAGGTTTCAGGCCTGTGGGGTTTTGTACATGCAGACTTTTATGCGATTCCTACCAAAGACCGTCAGACTGAAGAAATATAAAATGACAAGACATCATTGTTTTTAAAAAAAGATTCCTTCCACATGTATTAAGAAGATGGAGTGACCAATCAGTCCTTTCCGGGCCCAACGGACACCAACTTCTAGATAGTTTTTAATAAAAATTTTTTAAAAAAAGACGGGAGGAATCAGAGTTACACAACGCTGAGTTTCTGAGATGCCTCACACAGATACCTGTAGTTCTAGGAATATTACATCTATGTACCAATTGCTCAAAAGAGGTAAAGTTGCTATTGGTATAGAGATCATATAATAAAGTGATGCCACATTTTGACCATTGATGGAGTGACATGCAGTGTCTTCCAAGTGTTTTTAAAATGTTTGATCTTTACTGAACTCTAAACCTTTTAAAAAATGATGTCCTGTTTTCTATGACTTGAGCTGATTGTCTTGCATGACTTTGGTTCATCCAAACAGGAACCAGTGAAGTCAGAAGAGGCAAGGGACATGGCTAACCGGATCAACGCCTTTGGTTACTTGGAGTGCTCAGCCAAGACGAAGGACGGCGTGAGGGAGGTGTTCGAGATGGCCACCAGGGCGGCACTACAGGCCAAGAGGCGAGGCAAGAAGGGCGGCTGCATTGTGCTTTAGGGTGTCAGCTCACTGCAGGATTGGGAGGAAGGGGGAAAAAAAACCAAGCCAAGAAAAAAAAACATCCCATCTCTGTGTCTGCTTTGTCACTGAGGTTGGCACAGTTGAATGGGGCGTTATAGGGATGAGGGAGAAAAGTCAAACCAGGCCAAAGGGGAAAAAAGGAAGATTAAATGCAAAGGAAAAAGGGAGAATATACATTTAAGTTCAAGGTTATAGCCTCTATCTTTAAAATAAAAAAAGTACTGTAATCTTGTGTTTAGGATTCAAATTCAGAGAATGTGACGAAAAGGGAACCTCTCTCTGCCATCTTTTTAAAGTGTGGGAGGGTTATTGTATCCAGTTCTGTCTTTAACTGTAGCTCTACAGTTAATAGTTGAAAGCAGCTCCAGAAGAGATTTTGGGGGGGGTGCCCGCTTAACTAACTGTTAACTAACCTCTTCCATGGCTTGCAGTGTGACTGTGCTTGTCTTCAGTTTCTTCATTCTGTAAGTTTTTCTTTCTGCTTTATCCCCCTGAGGAAATATAGACCAACCTAACTTGGTATGGCATTTGTGTTTAATGAATCTGTAGTATTTGATACAACTTTCATTCATTTAAAAATGTGAGAGTTTGATTATTGGCATTTGAGCATAAATACATGACGGTAATGAGACCAACTTATTTGAGTGCTTTATGCTAGCTTTAATGAATGCAACAGTCGGAAAACTGTATGTGATTGAATTGATGTGGACTGTCAGACACACTGTATACAGTCGGGTATTAAAAGGGTTGTCAACATTGTTTTATCCTCTTGACAGCTACTGTAAATTCTCAAGTAGTAGTGGGGCCTTAATTTACCTCAGAGGAACAGACCTTTTATGTAAAACAGGGTTATATTAGAGACCAGCCTTTATTTCTAATTTCCTCTGTTTTAAATTGTTTATGTAAATCTCATCATATTTTAATAAGAAGCTTCCATGTTTTCTGATCTTCCTTCATGTTTAACTGCTGTCTTGATAAATTCGGTATAATGTACATTTCTATAGGGCTATCTCCATCACTACTTCATGTCATGTCACTTCTATTTAGCTGCTTTTTAATTGCTGTTAAGTTACCATCAGTATAAATGCAACACTTAAAGTATGGATTTTACATTTAAAACCTCCCAGCAGCTCATTGACACATTTGCTGTTGTTTCCAGTGGGCTTTTAATTTGAAACATCTGCAGGAAGCGTAGAGTTTTACTTAACAGCAATAAAAGAAACTTGGTAGTGAGTTTGACATGACTCTGAAGTGACGGAATAAGTGCTGCGTAATGTAAGTTATTCTGAATTTTAGCATGTGAGGCATTATAGCATGGTAATTCCATCCCCTCTGTGTTTGTTCGGCTGTTATTTGACAATCTTCCTTTATTTAAATACCAGCTTTTATTTGAAAATATACGGTGTACTGTATGCCAGGGTAATGTCTCCCAACTATTCTTTCTCTGCTTTGTATTCTCTTGTATGTTATTTTAACTTTATGTGATATTCTACTGGCTTACATTGTATTATTTGCACACAACTTTGAAACAAAAGGTCAGTGTGGTACACACTTTGAAAAAGATATGATGTCAAATTATGTAATGCAAAAGGCAAGCACCTCCTAAAGTATTGGGGATTTTTAAGAGAAACATTCTTTTGTATACAAATGTATCCTCACGTTTCTCCAGTCGTCATTTTTAATGTATTCTACAGGAAATAAATTTTAACTGATAAGGACCAAATTCTGCCTCATCCTTTCAGTTATTTGTGTAAATCTGGCTCTTTTCACACATGCATCAGTCATTACAAACGCATGCTATGTAGCCACACTTCTAAATTCTAGTAGAGCTCCCAAAATGAGTCAGGCTGGAATATGGGGAAATGAGCCTAAAATGATAAATATTTTCCATTCCGAATGATGCAATGAATAATTTATAATTTGAATGAATAAACTGATAAAGAACAGTCTCTGTCTCACTGTAACACCATCAGGGTTATTTTCAGACTCAACACAGCTCCTGCAGCGCCACGGAAGATGTGACTGTTTTCTCTGAGCTGTTTACTCTTAATGACACTGAAAATGACCTTAGACCAAAAGGAAAAGAGTTGTTTTTCTTCCGGTCTAATTTAAAGTTGAAGTAGATGGAATATATTACTAAAGAAAATCTAAATCAGTTGCCTTGAAACAAGTTTAATGATCTCATGTACAGTAAATGGTGTATGACAAGATTACTTGGCGAGAGAAAAAGATTTAATCATCCTATAAAGTTAATTCTTGATTATGGGAACCTGGGCCTTCAAAGAAGCGAGGGAGTTCAGGAAATACAGTCTGCAGCTGAAAGCGATTTGAGACTAAATCAGGTCAGGTCAATCAGGGAGGCTGAAGAGAGGATTGATGTGCTGAAACCCGAATACAAGCTACAGAGAAATCTGAGCTTGTGAGCAGACTCACCTGGGGCCTCACATATAACAGTTCTTAGATTTATACTTAAACTTAGTCTTCAGATTATTTCTGATGTCGCGTGCGAGTCCAGAAACTCCCATTGAACCGTTCGCTCTGTAGAGCTCCCTGCTTCTTTTGAGCTGCAGGATTTTTAAGTTGGTAAAGAATCTGACTTTTTTTAAACATTTCCTAAACTAAAATGTGTATCATGGGTTACGTCCTGACCTGGAGCCTTTTCCTCTATATCTTGCCAAACATCAATAGCGTGGCTACTAGTCTTGAGTCTCCCTAGCTAGACTACCTATGGATTCCAAATCCAACAAAAGATAAAAGGAAAATAGAGAATTTAATAGGACGTGGACAGATTTGTCTGCTTTCACCACCAATGCTGCTGGCTTACCAGTAATGTAATTAATATTCTAAGGCTCAGATGTGTTTTGTGGCTCCAGGTTTCTTCAAACTCAAAATCAAAAATGGCCCCTTTGATAGTAAAGATTTCCGACCCCTGGTTTAGTCTGTCTTTGTCGACCAACCATATAAAAATCAGTCCCCAATCCAACAGTTCACCTGAGCTCATGGACTGTTGTCAGTGGATTCTTGGTGTTCTCTCAAAGCAAAAACCGACCACTCAGCACTTGCTTGGCTTCTGCGCGGCTAACATTGCTGGGATAAGCGCGGTATGTGGTATCTTGGCCTCTGACAGTGGCCTCAGTCCTCAGCTTCACTCTAATGTCTGATGGAGTCCCGCCACAAATTCCTGATAGCAAGGCTCTGAAATGAAAACACAAGACTATCTTTACAAAGAGATCTGAAGTAGTCAACTGATTTAATCAATGATCTCAGTGAGCAGTCAGCAGTGGAAGTTTTGTAGATGACCACAAACCTGTGTCTGGCTCAATAAACGAGTGTCTGATGAGGAAGTCTAAGACCACCATGGCACAGTTGGGTTTAAAGTCATCAGTGGCCACCAGTTCCTTTACCTGAAACCGAGATAGAGCGATCACAAAAAGCCCCTCCTGTATTTTGGTTCTTTTAATGTCAGCCCTCAGAATATTGTTATTTCACAGGAATACTTTTCAGAATATGTCAGCCATACTAACCTTATCTATGGGCAGGAGGTAGAAGTCCTGCACCTCTCCATCCCCCACTCTAGGCTTAAAATCCAGAGGAAGTTCCAGATCAAAGGCAAACTGACATTCTGCAAACACTTCGCCTTCATCCACGTAGGTGTAGCTAGAAAACATATTAAAAGTAGTTAGTCATGGAACATAAGGAGGCTTACCTCTTTTAATATTCAAGTCTTTTACTTTATTTTATAATAACAAGGTTCCTGCAGAACAGAGGGACACTGCCCATGAAGGTGGTTTGACGATCTAGCCTCACCAACCGACCACCAGTCCCAGTGCCCCTTTTCATTTTCACCCCCGTCCCCTAAAAGTGCCCTATGGAGTTTTCATGTAAACAAACAAAGTGTTTAAATTCAGTGTTTCTCACCTAAATGCATTGTGTATCCTTGAGGTTGAACATTTTGAAATCTTTACAGCATTTACATCTATGTTTTTCCTGATAGCGGCCATCTTCTTCACTGCCTTAGTTGGCACGTTTCTTGGTGCGTTACCACCACCTGTAGATCAGTGGAGCAGTTTGAGGCTGTTTGTAGGAATGTGTATCATGTTCCCTGCGTGTGCAAGAGAACAATTGCCTCTTCCAATAACAGATAAAACTTAGGAAAAAAAATTCTTCTTTTCTTCTGATTGTCAACAAACCCAGACCAAAACCAACAATGTTCCTTTCTCAATACTTTCTGACTTATGAGTTCTTAGTTCCAAGCCCATTGGCTCCTACTGATGACATTATTCTTTAAAAACAGCTCACAAATGAATAGTTTCATTTATAGTTTCATTTCCTAAAACAGCTGGTCACTGTAGTTTTGATCAAATGTTGCATTTGTTGGGACTATTTTTAGTGGTGGATGTATCCACATTTGGTGCTTTAGTGAGTATTTGTGGTGGCATGAAGGTGTACGTGGCACAGTCAATATAAACTACAGTGTGTGTCCATGGGAATAAAGGAGCATGTCAGCCAGTGTGATACATTTATTGTTGTTGTGAGCCATTTAATCAGATTTGTTGACAACAGGCGTGTCCTTTAACTCCAACAGACTCTTTATTTAGATGAGTTGTGGTATCAACCTCACCTTACTGTGGTTACAGGACGAGCCTTCTCAGCAATGGCAGCTGGGATACAAGCTTCCTCTTCACATTCTTTGACCAGAGTGTGTTTGACGCCAACACCAGCAGCCAGACCACCTGCTGCCTTCCAAGATACAACACATAAGCCTTCTGGATTCATTTGTTTGTTCATTCTGAATCCGAAGTGTTGGCACTATCATCACTGTTTGTATCTACAGTGTCAGTTACAGTTTGTACTCACCACATTGTCCAGTAGTCCCGGGTATGTCTGTTTGGTGGGGGAGCGTCGTGCCAGCCACATGCTGACTTCCCCACTGTCACTAACAGTGTAACCATTGATATGGACCCCATACCGCTTCACCCCAAAAAGACCTGTAGTGTAATATCAGTCAGCCCATACAACACTAACATTGATGACATTATCTGTATATATGGAGCTGCCGCAGTGCACCAAAACTTACTTGTAGCAGCTCTTTCCATCCACATCAAAGGAGGGTCTGAGAATTTTGACATCACACTGTATTTCTGAAAGAGGAGAATACATGCTGTAATAACTGTGCTGTTATTGAGAACATGGAGGGTCATTTTATGTATTAGGATGCAAATTGTTGTTCTGATTTTTACAGTCCAAGGTCCAGTCCAGTATAAGTAAGAAACTGGCATTCAAACTCAGATTTTATGCATATGTTGATGTGACATTTTATGATTTACATCTACCCTGGGGGTAGAAGGCTACAAGTCTGCTTCGACCCTTTGCAGGGTCACTGTGGTTGGCATGACTCCAAAGAGGGCTATCAATACATTTGGGTCCCCTGATAACCCCTGATAGTGTCCCTAACTCTGGAGAGACGGGCACGACCAAAACATATGAATAAGAGAGGCTGGAGCTAGTTTACACCTGTCACAAGCTTAAGGACACTTTGACATGCAGCAGCAGGACCCGGAGATCCAACGGCCAACCTTCTGAGACCACCCAGTCTACCTCCTGAGCACAGCTGTGATATAGTAAATATGTGTGTGTGTGTGTGTGTGTGTGTGTGTAATGTGTGTGTGTGTATGGGTGTGTGTGTGTGTGTATGGGTGTGTGTGTGTGTGTGTGTGTGTGTGTGTGTGTGTGTGTGGTTGTTGTGTGTGTTATGGGTGTGTGTTGTGTGTGTGTGTGTTTGGTGTGTGTGTGTGTGTGTGTGTGTGTGTGTGTGTGTGTGTGTGTGTGTGTGTGTGTGTGTGTGTGTGTGTGTATCACCTCATCCCTCCATCCTCTGAGGCAGGTAAGGGAGCCCTCTTGTCTCAAAGTTTGCAGGACAGCATCCACAGCCTCGGACCTCCTCCCGTATGAGTCCAGACTGTGACACAGCGACACTGCGCCACCGTGTGGCGGACTGAACACATCTGGATACCGGCTCAACAGTGCGGCTACATGGGGAGGAATCCAACCTACTTGAGCCCCGTCTATCTCAAACCTGAAGCAGTTAGCACGACAGGAGCCTGAGGACACAAGACGGAAGTGGTTCCTTTATAACATTTCATAAAGTCGAATACATATTATACTTTAACACTCTGTCAGCCGCCTACCGGGAACATAAAAGTTGTTCATTCGGCGGAGGAGTTGGAGTATTTTTTCTGACCAGACAGAGTTGGCCATTTTAAATTCCAGGATGTCAACAAGCCTCTTCTTCTTCTTCTTCTTCTTCTTACACAGCGGTTGGCATAACAAGCCTTTTCTCAAGAAACTAAAATAAATGTAACTATAATATTCACATAGCGTGACTGGTAGAGAGGGCCTGATAACACAGAAGCTTCTAATATCATATCGGTACAAACAGAAAGCTCCAAACATTCATTAGACAAATCATGCCGGTGCACTAGTGCGCATGTCTTCTTCTTCTTCTTCTTCGTGGGTGACCAAACTGATTGGTTGTGCATTGGGACATTTGTTTCGGCAGGTAGCGTTTCCTAATTCCTAACTAATGCTAATTACCAAAATATCTATCTCTCTTTGAAAAACAGGCCTCCATGTTCATATAATTGTAAAACTATTTTTTAAGTAAAAACAGCACATACCCTTATCTGTGTCGAGTTTATTCAGTTAATGCTGTACTCTTGTTTGTACAGTAGGTGGCGACGTGTACCTTTAATGTTGGTTTACAATCCACATAAACACAAAGAAGAAGAAGAATGACAGCGGACTAACGTTACATTCACATTGCTAACTGTTACATCCCTGATGTAGTCTTGTGAAGATGAGATTAAATGTGTTGTTTAGCGAGGATCATACACCATCAGAGTCATACAGAGCTGGGCGGATGTGCTTTAAAGAGACTCCCGCCCGCAGCTCAATGGAACGGTCCGCTGCGCTCTCCCTTTAGCTAGCTAGCTAGGTTGCTAGCTCAGTGAGTAACGTTACCATCCTCTCGGGATTACAGTCACATACCCTCAGGTTGTCTCTCCAGGACAACAGGAATCAACTGAGGACAGCTTCATTGAGACCAAAAAGGTAAGATTTATCCAACAAGTCAATTGCCTTATGCCTACACCTTCTACGCGGTCGCTTCATCACGTCCCGTTTAGTCCTGTGGGATAAAGAGCGCGCACACCAAAGTCCAGTCAAAACTCTGGCAAGTTTAAATTGATCTTCATGTACAGCCAACACATTTAAAGCCGCCACCATGTAAGGCATTCGGGAGGATGGTATACTCTCAAGTATCTCTACGGCATAAATGTATTACACAGAAGAATCGTTTCAACTCCTCCTCCACGATACTGTTGTTGTTGTGTGCGGTAGCTAACGTTAGCATCCCGTATGCACCGGTTGTTCTCCAGCCCTCATGCTAGTCTGTATAACGAGAGTACGTTATCAGGCATCTTCTCATTACCAACATTTACTATGACTAGTTATTTATTTAGGTCTGAGCAGTGTTGCACAGTGTGTCCCCAGTGTACTTCCATTGACCTCCTGACAGTGTTTCAGTCTGCTGAAAACTTAAAGCCCCCCTCCAGACATTTATGAAGACATATATACAAATAATCTGCTTGGAACAATGATGTGTGTCTGACATAGTTTTCTCTCAAAAAAGTATACATTCTGCATTAAAACAGTATCTACTCATAGCTCATAAAAATTGATATAAAATAAGAAAAAAGTCCAGTTCAGGTTGGCTGTGGTGGTGTGAGTTTAATAAAGCATGCCGGCATCCTGGTGAACATACACAGAGCAGGTCTGAGTCTGTAAGTGGGCCCAGAGCAAATGAAATGAGGTACTTTTATACATAGACCAATACACTAAACAGTGTGGAAGAGGCAGCCATGGATCAGGCAGTCGGTTGACTTAGTATGATTAACATCAGTATGCTAGCGATTGACAGACAAACAGACAAAAGGTAGTGGTCAGACCAAATGTGGTTACCAATGGAAGAAGGGGTGGGTGTGGGGTTTGGTCAAGGGGAAAGGAGACAGTAGGAATACACATTTGAGTATGAAAGGGACCCAACCAGTAGTCTCTGTAAAATGGGAATTTTCTTCCTCAATATCAATAATAATATCATACTGTTTGTTGTGAACTCCATCAGTCCTCAATGGCTTCCTCAGAGGTCAGCATGCAGGAAATGAGCGAGGTGGTGATCGTCACCATACCAGAAGCAACAGGCGAGGACCTGCCCCCCATGGTGGAGGAGGACAAAGCAGTGCTGGTTACTGCAGAGCTGACCCCTCAGCCGGGGTAACTATAGGCCCACACACTTTGTTGCAGACATTTTCCTGTTGTTCAGTTTGCTGTGTTGAAACTTAAAAACGGTGTGGTCTTCCAGGGAGGACATCCTCACAGTAGCACCAGTGGAAGCAGAAGCTGAGGTCAGCACAACAGATTCACTGTCAAAGGAAGAGGCAGTCATTGGTAATGTCACCTGTGGGACTTTATTATTTAAATGTTTGTTCACTTTATTGGGAACTAAAATGAAGAGTTTATCTGTGGTATTCTGTTATTCTATGATTGTGTAAAGTAAATGAAATAAACGTATGCTGTATGTTTCATCAGGTGCAGTCTCTTTGGTTCAACTTACATAATAATCTTTATTTTTTACATCTTCAATTTGTGTGATCAGATGAGACTCGATGGCTGTATGAGGGTGTGTCGGTCTGTGTCTCTGCAGTGAAGTTAACTGAGGAGGTGGACGTGGAGGCTGATGTCTTCTACCCAATCACCTGTGGAGATGCCAAAGCCACGCTGGTCTGGAAGAAATTTGTCTGCCCTGGGATTAATGTAAAATGTGTGCAGGTATGCTCTGTCATTTTGTAAAATCACATTTCTGAACACATGTAAGGTGATACAGTAAACGTGGATCATCAACAGCTCGTGACGGGTTTTCTCTCCTCTCTGGTCAGTTCAATGAGCAGCTCATCAGCCCGAAGGAGTTTGTGTGTTTAGCGGGGAAATCCACTCTGAAGGACTGGAAGAGAGCCATCCGCCTCAACGGCACCATGCTCAGGTCTGCACTCATCAAAACCTTAGTTTATTTTGTTGCAAATTTCAAATCAAACATCTTGGAAAAAAACAGATTTATTACCTGTTTACAGTACTGGTGTCTAGGGGTGTAAGAAAATATCTATACACTGGAGTATCGTGATATTTTGTTTTGTGATATTGTGTTTATTTTTGTGTTTAAACATCTAACCACTAGATAGCAGTGTTGTAAAAGTAAACTGAGGGCTGTGATGTTACAGCGACTGTGATAAATACAGATGTAGATCCCACTGTTCTGGTTGCATAAAAAAAAATCTACAACAAAGAAATCACAATATATGGCCTTGCTTATAGTACCACAATATATCACAATATATTGAATCGTAACCCCTGTATGGTGATGCATATCGTATCCAATACACAGCCAGGACTTCTCAACTGACTTTTGGACCCTTTTTGACTTTAAGGAATTTGGCTTAATCAAAGCTCCCACAAATAAGTTCCCTTCAGTGAATGACTTAACTGCTTTGGCCACTAACTCACTACATTACTTAGAAGGCCTGAACTCTGCTAATGTTGTGTGGACCAGCAGTTTGAGACATCTGCTCTAGAAAATGGTGATAATGGTGAAATGCTGGAAATATGATGATGTGATTCGGTCTTCCTTCCGCTCAGTGGTTGGTGTGCAGTTGACAAATATTCCTTAGGATGGCACTGTTCCATCAGACATGGTGTGTGTCATGCCTCCTAACAGCCACATTTAATTTCACAGGAAGATCATGGACTCAGGTGAACTGGACTTCTACCAGCACACTAAGGTCTGCTCCAACACGTGCCGCAGCACTAAGATAGACCTGGTGGGATCCAAAGTGTCCGTCGGCAGCGATCAGTCTGCTGAACTAGTTCCTGCCACCCCCTCGTCAGCAGATTGTAAGTTCCCCAGCGCCAGCCGGTGTGCTAGTTCATTGTGAGCTCAGTGCTGGATCTGTTACAGGATGCACTGATGTGTTTGCTGATCTGTGATACCACATATTATTAAAACTGAAAGGGGAGTATATAAGGCTGCCCCTTCAACATTAGTTAGTTATTGGACAAGTTAGTCTCAGAATGACACATCTGTCAATGGACACAGAGAATGGGGATGGAGAGGATGTAGGAAGGAGGGTTCAGGGCAGTGCTAACAATGTGGGCTAAAGTAATCCTGATCAAGACCGGATCCAGGGACTTGTTTTACTGCTGTCAGCTGTAATCAGCATTTCAGCAGACAGGGATGTCAATAAAGACCAGAGAACCGTAGCAGTACAACAATAAGGTCAGTGTACTTGGCGGCCAACAGATTTTTGTTTTGAAATGAGAACCAAAATTACCACCATTTATGAATGGGGGAACAAAAAATGGAAAATAACCCATTTTCCAGTTGTTGGTTTAAAAAATAAAAATAAAAACAATAAATGACCCATACTTCCCCTTTTTAATAAATTTAAAAAACAAAACAAAAATCTGTCGGCAGCAGTACACTGACCTTCATTCTTCCTACGTGGAAAGCTGTGTTCAATGTGTCAGGTACTGTTGTCAGAGCAACAAGTCCTTAAATCCCAACCTGCGCAGGCTTATTGACCAACATGTATGTATGAACTAGTTTTTAGATACAAATGGCTCGCTTTCTTAGATTTATAATGAAAGCGTGTTGGTATAATTATGACTTTTAGAAGAGAATGTGCAACTTACAGAGGAATCAATAATATCCGAATTTATAATTCAATCAATACTCAGCCAATAGTTTGAATGCTGATTGTGGTTTCAACTCAGTTTTGTCTATTTCAAAATAAGAGCCCACTGTTTGTTATTCAAGGTTACTTCATCCAGGATGAACAGAGCAGTCTTTACACTGTCTTCAAAGAACCAAATTAGCTGGGGAGGAATTAACAGCCTGATAACAGCATGTTAGCCTGGATTAGTTTGAAGAACAGGGCCAGGGCCTTTAAAAGTGGTAACACAGGGAGAGCAATGAAGAATTCAAATGTTGTCAGGGTAGGAAAGCTTCTGAAGCACCATCAAAGTCTGCACTGTAACCCAGAATGAATACACAAACACATTTCCATAAATCCTCAGAGTGTAGTGATGTTGTTTACCGTGTGTGTCGTAGTGAACGGAGCAGCAGCCTCATTTCCAGAGGTGACGGAGGAAACATCAGAGTGGGTCACAGCCATCGGAGGTGATCAGCGACCTACACACACACACACACACACACACACACACACACACACACACACACACACACACACACAGTCTATACGCTGTACTCTTTATGATGTTGTGTGTGTGTGTGTGTGTGTGTGTGTGTGTGTGTCCAGAGGACTCTGTGGCTTTCTGGCGTACAGTGAAGGAGGCAGGGCTGTTGGAGGAGGTGGTGGAGGACTTTCAGAAAGAGCTGCAGGAGGTGCTGAACGGGCTGCAGGAGAGAGTGTGTGACCCACCACTACAGGTCAAAGGTTAGAAAAACACACACACACACTCACAGGCAGGGGCTGGTTGACCTACCTACAACAAAATAAACCACCACAAAGTCAGAGGGGAGGTAGACATTCTATATGAGGATATGTGATCCTACTGTTAAAGCTGCAGTTGGTAACTTTTATAAAAAGTTTGTAAAACTTTCACTATATCCTGACAGTAGAACATGAGACAGATCATCTGTTCTATAGATGACAGCCTGTGCATACAACTGATTATAACAATATCTCTCTGTATAGCCTCACCAGAATTAACCAGCAAAGAGGACACAACTTTACAATTAAATTAAAATGGCAATAAATAATAAATAAATAAGACTACAGACACCATGGTGGGAGCAACACGCATTATTAAAATATACAAATGAAATATTCTGACACTTGTAGAACCAACAGCAGAATAAAACATCACATCAGGCTGAAGACACACAGATGTATAAACAATATAAACTCCACAGTGACTGCAGCCACACACATTAAAGAAAGGAGAGGGCAGTTTTCACACACACCCACCGCGGACACACACTGCTACGTTGCTACGTGGCGCAGTGGTTGTTGATGTTCTTCCCTGGACAGTGAGTGTTGTATTGTCTTGTGCATCAGTCCAGTCAACTTTTCTGTCCCGTTGCACTCCTTTTTAGTTGTCAAAACCTTTGAGCTGAATGAGTGTCTGCAGTCACAAAAGTTTCTCAGTGGCTGCAGAAGCCATTGTAGCATTCAGGAGGTTAGCCAAACCCAACATGCACCTGTTGTTCATTGGTGCAGTTGGAATGCATTCACTGTAAGTCCCTTTAAACAAAAGTGTTATGATCTTTTTTTATTCCACAATTCTTGTAAAAACCTGCAGGCAGTTTATCAGACTTCACACAGCTCCTTCTGGAGACACTAAAGGTTTTCTACAACTTGTTTTGTTGCTGTTGTTAAGTTGCCGTGTCCCATTGAACATGAATTCTTTGTTTTTTCAGATGCTGTTTTGCTCAACAATATCGTGCAGAACTTTGGGATGTTGGACCTAGTGAAGAAGGTTCTGGCCAGCCATAAGAGCCAGATGGACCGTTACAGAGAGCAGTACACTCGCAGCCTGGCCGGTCAGTGCAGGAGTCCTGAGCACAAATTACCACACTGCATTTGTATTAAAGGTCCAGTGTGTAATATTTAGGAGGATCTGTTGTCAGAAATAGAACATAATATTCCATAGGTATGTTTTCATCAAAATAAGAAAGAAAGTTTTTGTTACCTTTAGAATGAGACGTTTTTAGCTACAGACACGGGGTCGCCTTCCATGAAGTCCGACATGTTGCTACAGTAGCCCAGAACGGACAAACCAAACACTGGCTCTAGATAAGGCCATTCACGTTTTTCACGTTTCGCAGCCACCGTACACACTCCACAGCCCATTCTCGTTACCAGGTCGTCAAATTCGTACGCGAGTGGTGTTCAGTTAGTCGAAATTTGCGACGTCACTGCTAGATGCCTCCACTGGTCCTTTAAGGGGTTGATTGTGTGTCTGATTAATAAAGTCTTGGTGTGTGTTTGTACGTATTGATGATGCATTGTCTCCTGCAGCTCTGGAGCAGCAGTGTGACGAGCACAGGAAGCGAGCCAAGGAGCTGAAGAGCAAATCCCAGCACCTCAACAACGTCCTGATGACCCTCACCCCAGTCCCTGCGCCCCCCGCGCCCAAGCGACCACGGCTGACCCGTGCCGTCTCTGGCCCGGCCTCAGTCAACGCTGCTCCCACCCAGATCACTGTGCCTCTCAACCAGCTGACCAGCCTTCAGCTGGGCAAGGTGCTGACCATGGCAGGAGCCCAGGGCGGGGCCAACCTGGGCGGGTACACCCTCCTGACCTCCTCGCTCTCCGGGTCGGAGCTGGGGGCGACGCCCTCTAACCTGACCGTGCTGTCGGCGGCGGCGGGTCAGGTGGTCGGCCCTCAGTACCAGCTGGTGACGCTGCCGGCCGCGCTGCAGAGCTTGGCCGCCACGCAAGGCGCCACCGTCCAACAGCAGGTCGGCACCATCAGTGTGGTGGAAGCCACGGCAACGGCTGTGGATGATTCACAAGAGGAAGGCCAGGCGGATGGCGAGGATGAAGGTCAGCCAGAGCAGCTTAAAGAGGGCGATGGGGAGCAGCCGGCCAATCAGCAGTGAGACAAAGGACAGCTGTTCTCTCCCCTCGCCCAGCTCATAATTGCCTTCACTCCATCATTACGGGCCCTGGTGGGACGTGCAGTTCCTGTGATGGCTGAGGGCTCGTCCACATTTAGACTTTCACAGACCATTCATGCCCTGTGTTCAGTTGTCATTCGAGCCTTCCTTATAGACGTCCTTCAGATTTCAAGATACCCACATTTATATTAGAGTGGCATCTGGTGTCAGGAGTGTGTACTTCAGTAGGGCTTTCACTGTAAATATGTTTTTGTAACTAATATATTTGATACAGCTGTTTGTGTAGGGATTTATTCCATGTAGGCTGGAGGAGAGGAGAATTGTTCAGTTTGGTAATAAATGCTCAGTTTTCAAGAACAAATTGTGCATCATTACATGTAAATGTCTTCATCAGTGTGTAACTGAGACTGTGAACTTGTGTGTTTTAAGTTTTAACGAGTGTCGAGGAGGATCTGTTGTCAGAAATAGAATGTAATATTCATAGGTATGTTTTCATTAGTGTATAATCACCTGAATATAAGAATTGTTGTATTTTGGTTACCTTAGAATGATCTGTTTTTAAAAGAGGGAGAGAGTCCTCTTCTACAGAGTCCGCTATTTTGAACCACCATGTTTCTACGGTAGCCCAGAATGGACCAACCAAGCACTGGCCGTAGATATTGTATATTGTTTTTTGAGCGTTACATGGCCACTGGTTTTTTGTCCTCAGCCTTGTAAGAAGAAGGAAGGGAGGAGAAAAGGATTTTAAATTTGTATACTTAGTAGCTTTTCCCTGAACCTTCAACCACATGTGTGTCAGCTGTCATCACGTGACAGTTATTGACTTAATAGATAATTTTTTTATTTTGTTGCGTAATTTGTATAGTGACAGTGGAGAGAGACAGTGAAGGCGGGGAGAGAAATGGGATGACTTGCAGGAAAAGGGCCCGGGGCCTAAATTTGTTCGAACCCAGCCTAGGGACTCAACCTTCATATGTGGTACATATGGCTTTCTTATGGCTAACTAAATTTCAAATTCATGAAGATAATAAAAAAGAGGACAATAAAGTACCAGGGTTTTACTTCTTACCTTCACTGATATGGTACGTTCCCTTGAGAAAAATAATATCGACCCTAGAGCATAATTGGTACAAATATTTCCCATGTAGGAAGACCAGAACATTTCTAAATTTGTGCATACTTTATGTATCCTGTTGCATTTAATTACCCATCGGAGCAGCTGCAACCTCCCCCTGTATGGTGTGTCACTTAGTGTGCAGTTTGATTCAAAAGAACATGATTAACATATCAACTAACAAGATAAAGGTATTAAAAAACAGGATACCGGGCAGTGGAGCAGGGGACACTGTTTCTATTGTGCTTTAATGGTAGCTTCCATCTGCTAAACTCATTTGAAGTGTAATTACCACAAGCTAATTGCCACAGTGAAGCTTTCGCCTTTGGGGCCCCTAAAGGTTTGGTTAGTCCGTCAGACCAAGGGGTCCCAATTTTGTTCATGTCAAGGACCCTCGGTTTGAGGAAGAGGAGGTGGCCTAGTTGTTATTTTCAGGTTTGAAGATGATAAGTCTTCATAGTCATCAGGGATTGAATTGGAAACTCAACCCCGCCTCTTGTTCCAACTTCTGGAAATGTGGTAAAATAAATATTGTATTCCTCCTATTGCTGGGGACCCCCCCACCCCAGGTTGAAAGCCACTGAGTCAGACAGTTGTAACAATGCAACAGTTCTTCTCTTTTTGAACAAACAGGAGCAAACGGACTTTATGATCTGTTACTTGCCCACAGGAGGGCGCAACTATATCACTGTTGATTGGTTCACACTTTGTCCAGCTTGTTTGTTTCTCCAGCAGAGTCAGATTGTTCACATTTGAGCCGGATCTCCTGAATCTGTTAGTGGTAATGTTAGAATCTCTGCTCAGTAATGTGTCTGGTTTTAGATAAACAGATTGACACCGACTGTTCATTTTGGCTTTGGATATATCCAATCTATATATACTAATAATAGAAACAACAACATAGTAGTAATAATAATAATAATAATAATAATGAAGTCATGTCATATTCCTTTAAATGATTCTGATAGTTGAAGATTACATTCGTATCTGAATTCTGTTTTAGTCTTGTTCAGCATATAGCTTAACTAAAGGCACCATATTTGAATGCGTTGCAGTCAAGGTCAACCAAATTCCATTAAAAATGTAGGTTATTTAAAAGTTTAAAAAAAAACTTGTGACGAAACTCATATCAGATAAAATGCACGAGTTCAGTTATGAGAACTATTGGTTTTAATTGATGAAGGTGTTTTAGTATATTATTTATTTTAAAATGTCCCCTTTATAGATGCTCCTACAAACTGCTCAGAGGATACAGTTAATGCGAAATCTGGGATGAACGTTGAATGTATTTAAAGTGCCGCTCGTTATTATTGGTGTGTGCCGGGTTTGAGAGCATGTATTGATATTTAATAAAACAAATTTAGCTGAGTCATGTCCAGGTATGAGTCTGTCGATGAGTGAATAAATATAAAATTGGCAAAATTCTGAATGGAGATTGGCTCCATGTAACGGAGCGCACTGAGGCTGAGATCACGCAGGCTATGACTCCTTTGCACTTTTTGACAGACAAGAAGGGTTTTATATTCATGGTTTTATTAAACAAGCATCCTTTATTGAATGACAGACGGTGATGAACACAGAGATGACAGTTGTTACACAGAAGTCAACCCAGTAGCTATAAGCAAGATAGGCAGGCATATGATACTTTTTGGATAAATGGTGGCATTTCAAGTGAACCTGCACAAGGTCTTTGTAGTTTCTCTCTCTGAGCAGGGTTCCTCTATAAGCTCAAGTCATCATAGGAGTAATACGGCTCCTCCACTGAGCGCACAGAGATTTTGAAGTGTCGGCGCAGAAAGCCTCCGTATCGCTTGTCCCACTTCAGGTTGTTCAACTTTGGTCGGATCCTCCTCATGAAGCCCCCGTAGCGCTTCTGCAGCTCCTCGGGCTCCTGGCTCTCCTGCTCCGCGGAGCTACTCCTCTTTGACTTGGGGCCGAATTTGCGTAAAAAGCCGCCGTAACGTTTCGCGTAACTGTGAGGCATCTGGTCCTCCGGAGCTTCATCCGCGTCCTCCGGCGCGTCTATGCCTCTCTCCTCCAGCCTCTTCAACAAGTCCTCGTATTTCTTGGGCAGCGCTGCGCCCTTCAGGATGTAGTTGTCGCGCCACGGAGAGGTGAAGATTTTGTTCTTGTTCTTGTCGATCCTCTTGATGAAACCGCCGTAGCGTTTGACCAGGTCTGCCTGCTGGCTCTCCTCCTCCTCCGCAGCCTCATCCTGGCTAAAGTCCGCCAGCCCCGGAGCCTGGCCGCAGCTCTCCAGCTGCCCCTCACACTCCGCACTGCACGACTGCGGGACACACACATGGAGAAGAGTTTGAAACTTATTTGTGCACACACAACACAGTGAGGTTTGGTACTGGAGGTCAGCTCTACACTTTTTTGTTTGCTGAATGTATTTTGAAGGGTTTGGCGTCAGGTTCACCAAACCAGGCCACTATCTGACCCCCTATTCCCTCCTCACATTTCCCCTTAAAGGAGCTAACATCTCACAATCTGCTTGTCTAAAGCTTTATTTGTACATATGAGTGAAAGATTCAAACCTAAGATTTCATATTTTTACGCAACCCATATTGTATGTTACTCGTTTAGATTTACTCAATTTTCAGCCTGACATATTTGGTATTTTAACTTAAGGATTTAGGAAATTAAAATTATAACAATACAATGAACTCTCCCTAATTCCAATGTAAACTTTTAGTTAAAACGGAAAAAAGAAAAAAAGGCAGCAAAAGCTCAATAAAGTCACCTTCCTCCTTCTGGGTCTGTGATCTTACCAGGCTGCTGAAGGCGACGTCAGCGCTGAGGATCTGCTGCGCGCATTTCTGACACTGTGAAGAGCAATCTGCGTGGATGGAGGGCGGCAAGCTCAGTATCAGCACCAGGACATACCACTCCATTCTTCACCAGATCCCCGACACACACAAACAAACAAAAACAACACAGTAAGTCTGGGTGAGATTGGTTTGATGATTCACAGACTAAAAAAGACTTTAAATCAACTAAAAACCTTCATCTGTACTGATGAAAATTGCATATTTCATTAACATCTTCTTAATTCAGTCTGTTAAACTCAGTTTAAACTCATTAAATCACTATATTACCGATCATGTAGAACTGTGCGCAGTGCGTAATGGTGCGTAAAGGAGTTCCTCACTTTATTTAAAAGCCAGCAGATACACATAACATTAGTTCTAAGTTTCATAGAGACAATAAAGTACAAAGTATAGAGAGAGTACCTCAGGAGTTGGACGGATACTTCCAGCCGTGTTAAAACTCGCAGAGGTGCATCTACCATCAAATGCAAACTCGCTGAACGCACTCCAACACTTGTGTTCCTCCTGCGCGGCTCGTCGCCTTTCTTTTTATCGCCGGAGACTTGGCTGTGTCACCGCAGCGCATCAGAGCAGCTTCTATTGAGGGACCAATGGGAGGGTAATACTCTGCGTACACAATCCCACCGCCTCCCCGCTTCAGGAGTTTTTAACAACGCCCACACAGAGAAGGTATAGGAGCAGCAGCAGCAGCGCAGCTCGTCCCATCAGCACATTACCATCATCATCGTCATCCTCATCATCATCATGCCATCTCTGGGGGGCCTGGATCAAACCCTGGGCTGTAAATCTCACTGACATCTATGAACAAAGTGGCTGAGAGAAAGTAAAACCTACAAAAGGGAATGAGAAATCACTTTGAATTCAGACATGAACCTGAACTGGATAGAAAACGCGGATCCGACTATGAGCATGATGCATTACACTTATGCCTTTAGGGTTGGGTCATTTTAACGAAATTACTCACTCAATAATACCAAGAACTAATTATGTCATTGCTTTAATATCTGGACATATCCTCTTGCCAAAGTTTTTTCCTTTCAGAGGCGGATCTAGAGAAATATTCATGGTGTGGCAGAAATATATGCTGATTGAATCACAAACAATCAGGTATATCCGTATTTGATTGGAAAAGCCTCCAAATGAGGATATTTGAACTCAAAAACATTATTGTGGCACATTAGTGAAGGTGGCTTTAGAAATCAATTGATAATAATAAGACTTAAAATGAGGCCATAACAGTTCATTACATTAATTTCTGTTTTTTAACACGTTATTTTAAAAATCAGCCTAAATTTGATAGCAGTGGGGAGCACTGCTAAACTGGCAATAATTCTAATATTTATTTGGGGGCGGGGGGGCAAGTATGCTCAAATGCTCAGTTCATCCCTTCTAAGTTTGTGTTAGAATGGCAGGACTTGACTCCACAGTCCTAGCCTTGGCTTTCACTGCCTTTAAGATGTTTGATTGTTCAGTCTCATTCCAGGGTGTCAATCACAGATTTGCTTTGGGATCCTGGGAATGACACTGAACAACTATCAAGCCTCTGAACCAAAGCATCTTTCTATCTTTCTTGGCTCTGGTTGTTTTCATTCAAGCCCAGTGGATTCTTACAAATGCCATTAAAAGCACTAGGAGGAGCCAGAGGAGCCTGATCTGACCATTCTCCTGTACTACTGTCAGGTATATAATATATATATTAAACGTTTCAGCAAATATGACGCTTTTTTTCTTTAATAAAACCTACCCACTGCAGCTTTAACAGGACTCATAAATCCATATTTTGCTCTCAAGGTAAATGCAAATGTAAGGTTTTCACAACAGTCACAGCATATGTGTCAGGCACTAATGATTTCTTCACACTCAAGTGGAATATGTCCACTCCTCCCCCGCCTCTCAGCAAATCTACATCTACTGTATGTCATTGTTACATGTCCTCGGTAAATGCCTTCAGGTTGCATTGTGTGTGCGATAAGCAGCAGCTCGGTGCTGTACAGTGGGAGGACCCCGGGAATTTATCCACACACGAGTTGTCGGCCTCATCCAAGGCTGAAACCTTCAGAAGCTTATTGACAGAGCGAGGTTACATTGTTGGTCTTCTTGCC